AAACTGTCTTAAATTACTGCAAACTAGTTTAAAATGAACTAAATCTTGTTCAAAACAACAATTTTTGAGTAATTTTGGACCATTTTTAGTCTCTGCTCATCAACTCTAGAAAGATGTTTCACCGTGCCGGATGTATCTTCCAACAACTTGCTCCTCTGTTCACCGTTTTTGAGCCGTGCTGCATTTATTTTATTGATCCAGTTTGCTTTATTTTCCTCTCAAACTCTCCAGTTTGTTTCCGTATTTGTTTCCTCTCCGCTCTGTGGAAACGCTGGCTGCAGTTCACCTGAAAACTCTCAGAGTTGTTGTGACACGACTGTTGACGGCCGTTGACTCAGAATGAAGTCGTGAATGACACAGAAGTTTTTGGTTTTTTGCAGAATCTTTTTTTTGCAAGTGCTTTATTGTTTTGATGATTTTTTAAAAAGAAATTTTTCAGAATAATATGATTTTAATTGGGTTTGCTACAGAACTTGCACATCACAGATCATCAGTTCACAGATGGTTGAGAATATTTCTGTTTCTACAGTTTCTGGTTGATGAATGGTGTCGTTTTATTTGAAAGAAGAAACCTTTTAAACCCACTGGGAGGTTTTGTTGTTCAGAGGATTAATTTTATATCGATTTTATAAAATGAAGAAGACACGTGCTCATAAAAGTAGAACATAAATTACTTTTTTTTTCTTATTTTAAATTATTAGTTTATTTAAATGCAACATTTCAATTTTCCAAATTGTAGCTGGAACTTTACACATGTGATGTTTTCTGTCATTCGTCTGTCATCAGCAGGGACACTAGGCTGTGAGGACGGCAGCAGCAGGTTCGTACAGCTTCACATCTGGTGTTTTTACATTCTGCTGCATGCTTCCTACACATTTTTTTCTTGGATTTTTCTGACTGTTTTCACGTTTCCACTTTTATTTTTATTTTATTTTTCCTTTATTTAACCAGGTAGGTTAATTGAGAACAGCTTCTCATTTACAATAACGACCTGGCCAAGAGGCAGCACAGAGCAGAAAATACAATACATCCATAAAAAACAATACACAAACAAAACGTAACAATAAAAGGCTTTGAAGATAAAAATACACTAAAAGCAGGTACAGAACTCGGTAAATAGTTGCTTTACCATATTTTTAAAAGAAGATAAAGATATAAATACACTGAGTTTAAGTGTTTTTTGTCAGTGGTTCCAGTCGAGAGCTGCAGAAAACTGAAATGAATAGCGGCCAAAGACAGTGTGTGCTTTGAGGATGAGGAGGTGGATGAGGTTGCTGTTGCGAAGTGAGCGGCTGAGCGGCTTCACTAAAAGTCACCTGTTCTCAGTTTTTCTGTCCTGTTATTGACTTAGAGTGACTGATTTGTGCTTTTTCGTGTCCTAAAAATCAAGATTTCTGCAGGTCTGGAAATTTTTTAATCAGTTCCCTCAAATAAAATATTAAACCGTCATGTATTTCAGTTTAAGAGACCGTGAATACTTTGTTGTAAATCTATGCAGAAAACCTATAAATACACCATAAAACATAAAGGGCCAGTGTGAACTGGAGCAAAAACAGGATTAGTTATTGGTTGTTTAATGCATCAGTGTCCAGGATTTGTAGATTATGTAAATATATCATGTTGAATTACTGCTTATACAGCTGGAAGCATGAAGCAAATGTGACATAAATGTCAATAATTTTAAGTATTGAAAAACAATATGAAATCACATTTTTAAATCCAGTTTGGTGCACAAACCCTGATTCATGCAGCTTCTTTATCCATATTTCTGTAGATTTTAATTCCACTTTTCATTTGAGCTGCATGTGTTTAATGGACAATGTTTGTTGTTGTCGTCCTCTGCGGTGATTTTTTGAAACGTTTTTCGTCTCTTTCTGAACATCAATAATCTTAAACTTTAATCTGATCTGTTCTCTTCTGTCGTGTTTTGTTTTCCAGAACGTAAACGGAGGTTCAGCGTCGATGAACATCTGAAGCTCACACACACGTGTCTTTCTATCTCTGTGAGGACCACAATGTGACCCAATAGGTTCTCCTCTTTCTGCAGAACTCGTCTGGTTTTACATTCATCTGTTTAAGTGTCAGTAAACGTCTCATGTGAACACCACAGAGCCACGGCTGGAGGCTCCACCTGAAGAAAACACTCGTACCGTTACGTTAATGAGCAAAAAAAATCAATCATTTATTTACCTCAGTGAAAATGTCGACAACAAACACATGATTTACTTGGAAAAAGTGCACTTTTTCTCATTTTACTGTAAATCTACTAAAATATGAATCATAAGCTGTTTTAATTTGACATTTTCCTGATTCCTACACATATTAATATGCAAAAGTTCTCAGCTGTAACGACAACAGGACGGGGGTTGAAAAAATACTTCATTACTAAACAACAGCGGCTCTTTGGATCCTATAAGTTTGTATTTTGGTAGCTTATAAGTTGCTAATAATTCTGAGAGCTGAATCTGATGATGTAAACCTTAGTTTGGGTTAAAGAGCAACTTGTGAACAAACTGTGGACGCTGCACGAGGGGCGTTAAAAAACATTGATGAACTCATAACTTCTGTCAAATGCTGTATGTGTGAGGAAATAATGACTGTATTTTATGATTGCTCTGCAGATGAGCTACTAAAACTGTGGCTAAACACTGAATATTGACGTTATGACAGGAAGTAGTACATGTTTTGGCTCGTCAGCAGGTACAAAGCTTCAGAAAATGCAGCTTACAGTTAATAATCAGGGCGTCTGTCGGTCTCACAAAGTGCTTTATAACAAATTTAGAGATTAGAATAGACTGAAAACTCAGAGGCGAGTCTGAAAAGCTGCTTTTATCAAAGGAAGTCCACAGATCGGAAGTTTAATGGAGTCAAACATTTGAAGAACTTGCGAGTCTTCCTGTAGGACCCCAAAGTCCCGTCAGCAGGTTTTATAAAACCTGTGGAAGTTCAGATTTATCCCTTTTAACACGTCGGACGTCCAACAAAGTACCAATATCAGAGACGCTTTCTGTTCGTCTGACAGCAGATGAACATGTCGGCCTCAAGTCTGGAGCACGTTTATGTCATTTGTGACAACAATCTTTCTGGATCGGACCGAGTCTGATTTCACGTTTGGCGTTGCACAAGTCCGTCGCATTAATCAAAAGGTACGAGCGGCAGTACTTCTAGTTGTGGGTTATTTTTCTACATTTCAGCACTAATATTGACCCAAAAACATCTCAGAGAGCAAAAGCTGCCAAAATTACCAATCACCTCTCTAATTCACTTTGTTGTGAAAGTTACATCTACGAGGCTACAAGCAGAAACGTCCATTAAACTGTGATTAAAACAGACACTAGCAGGTTGGATTAATTGAGGGGGTTAATGCCAAAGTGGGCCGAAGCACATTTACTGGTTTTACCGTAGACTGTATAAAAGATGGACGTAGCAAAAAAACAGCAAAAAAATGAAGTCAACCCGGAAGTGTCAACAACCTGCAATATCACTACGTCCACTAGCTGCTGACTCCAAAAAGCCCTGGCTCCCATAGACTGGAATTGGAAAAGAAGTGATCACAGATCACGAAATACTGCATTCCTCCAGCTCAGGACTTTTTTCTTATTAGTTTTCATGGTCAAATCCAGAGATCAGGTGGCCAATCTGAAAATAAATAAATTCTGAATTTTTTAAAAATCGTCAACATTTTGCGGGGCAAGGGGCGTGGCTGGCTTGATTGACAGTCGGCAGCGACCATACAGATGAAGCGAGCAGAAGGCGGTAAATGTGGGCGGGCAGAGAGGGCCCGCCTCTCAATCCGTCTGACCAATCGCTGCTCCTATGGCTCCGCCCCCCTCCGACCATTTTTGTGTCACTGGCTCCAAAAATCCAAGATGTCAACCAGGAAGTAGCAAAACCCTGGCTTCATTTTCTCAGTGCAGAAACCAACGAGTGACGTCACCGTAGCTACGTCCATCTTTTATACAGTCTATGGAAAAATGGGGTCAAATGTTGTGTTGCTAAAAATAAATCCTGGTTGTTGGAGGAGTCATTATATGCATCCAAAGACGTTTCAACACTGTCCAGAGATAGAAACAGCTGCTTTATGATGACTTATTTAAGTTCTCATTCTGCCTTTCCTTTTGCGGAGTGCAGGCCAAACCACATTTACTACTTATTGAGAAAACAATGTTGTTAAACAGCATTGAAGAAGTTACATCATAAGGAACTAGAGCTACTGCTGAGGACCACGGGGTAGAAATGGATGCTTGCTGGTGGTTAATTAAGTTTGTATTTTACGTACGAGTTGAGGCTTGAGGTCGCGCTGTCCACCATCTTGAATCGCAAACACGTGCAACTACCTGCGATATAATGACCAGTAATTCCTGTGGCTTGGCCCAGTTTGCCACTAAATTTTCATGCCAAAACCATCATGGGCCAAACTTCAAAGTGGCATTGTGACGTTACTGGTGGGCTGTTGGTTGGACCACTTTTCCACAAACTGGTAGACCATAAACATTTTTGTGGTTTGGCCCACTTTGGCTCTGAACCCCTCAATTAGACTGAAAGTAGTTTGCTTCTTTTTTTTTTTCTACCAAGTTTCGTTTGTTGCTTCCAGTTGTTTCGGAGTCTTTCCTCTGAGTTCCTTAAAGACCTTCAGCATCAGTTGCACACATTTGTGGAACAGCGGCAGTGCTTCATTAGCGACATGTAATTAGAAATAATCCCCAACGGAAACACAAGAAATGTACCGTCTATGACAAATATTGCATGCGACTGAACTATTGCTCGCAAAATAGCGACTCAGCAGCCCCCAAGACACATCCTGAACCCGACAAACAAGTTTAAATGAAGGTTAAGAAGAAAACTCTTTGGGAAACATTAATAAATGAAAGAAAACACCGACATTTACACATTTTTGTTGTGCAAGCGTTCATAAATCAGTCGTTTGCGACCCAAGAAAGGCTTTAAATGTAATCTGGTAAACATGACAGTTTAACCTGCACTCGCATGGATGTATTTATTTCACAATGTCAACTGATAAAATCAAGTTCCTGGTTAGAGGCGATCACATATTGTCCTCGTCACGCTCTCATCAGCTGTGTTTTTATATAATCATCAGGTGAGTTTGCGTGTCACTGACTCACTGAGCTGTTTTCGGGTATAAAATTTCAGTCTTAGCGTGAACGAAGGCTTGAACAGAGTAAAACAGATGCTTTACCAGACAACTCTCCCTCCCTGCAGCGCCCCCTGGTGGAGGCCAGTGTCTGCAGTTTCTATGTGAAACAAAAAAAACACCAAACTGAGCTCTGCATCCTACAAACGCAGCTTCTACAGTTATTAGCAGCTTGTAAACGTCAAACATATCCAAGTGCTGCAGCGCTTTTTACTCAATAAAAGAGTTTTTTCCTGCACACCTTCTGATTTTACTGGAACCGGGTGCATTACAGGACAGTTATGAACTCCTGGAACATTTCCGTCATTTAATCACAACAGGAGGAATCATTGCTCTTTAATAAGGAAGATGTTTTGAGTGAATTTTTTCACCCCCCAACAATGATTTAGTCCTCTGTGTTTGTTCAGGATTCTGCAAAAACTCAAATTAACTTTGTTTAATCTGTTGATTTAGTTCATGTACATTTATGTAGATGCGTCATTAGGGAACTGTTGCTGCTGGTTCTCCTTCAAACATTCACACGTTAAAACTTTATAAACTCATAGAAACGCTGACAAACACCTGTAACCACCGCTTTTACCCAGAACCAGAACACAGCTGCAGTCTGTCGAGGTCTGCGGGGAACGTTCGCCGTCTTGTTTCTCCGAATCGGCCACGAACTCTAAATGTGAATTCTTGAAATGATTCAGACGATGTCACTTTGTTTACACGCTTCAGTCGCCATTTTGAGTCTCGGTATCGTCGACGCGATCGAGCTGTGGCCTGATGCTCGTTACAATAAGTTCAGAGATCAAAGGTTGAAACACACATTTACTTTTTGTGAACGTCACATTTATTGTTGGTTTGATTCAGAGCTGAGAGGGAAACGAGAAACTGTGTTCAAACAAAACGAAGAAGCTGAAGTGCCGTTCGATGCAAAGAAACTGGCGATTTTGCACTAAAGTGGCTCGACTGTGTGGACGCTCCTCTGTGGCTGTTTCACTGCATTAATAATTTGATGTACAGTCTGAACCAGAGCACTGACTCAAATCTGCTGTAACTGTTTTGATTGCACTGGAAGCACAAGATCTGTTCCTCCTCTACTCCTTCTTATGTTCAGGTTTTCCAAAATAAAAGTGCTACTTTATTTTGAAGGGGGATAACGATGTAGCTTAAACACGAAGATGTCGCCGTGTGTTTCTGTTCACGTCCTGCATCACGGAGGAAAACTGTGACACGAAGGCATGATAAAGTTTGTGCAGGACGAGACTTCTGCACTTTGTTTCACCGACGTTGGCTTCATGTGTCCAGTGTGTGTTTGGAAGTTTGTAAATCTGTTTATTTCTGAAGAACACTGTAAAACTTCAAAGGTTTGAGAAAAAGCAGCGTTTCCGGTTAACGTTCTTCAATAAAAACAAGCATAGTTTAGTATTTTTGCTTTGGATTGGTCAAGTTTCTAACGTTTTAATTGTTTCAGCTGCACCAAAAAAAAAAACAAAAAGAGAAATCTGAATCATTTTCAGTCTCTTTTTTTTTCAATAAACATACAAATGCCTGTAAATACGTCACTGCAGGCAAGTTTTTTTTTTTTTTGCCGTAAAGTGACTCAAGAAGTAAAGGCAAGTTCTTAAAAAAAAACAAGGGAATTACGTGAAAAACATAAAACTAACTGGAATATTTTAAGGTTAAAAACTGGTGAAAATAACAGCAAATATCAGTGAAAGAATTACACATTTGATCTGATTTAAATGCAGTAAAACAGCGTAACTTTACCTTGTAAAACAACAAATCACTATGTACAAAAAAACAAAGAAAAAGAAATTATTCACAGTTTTGGTCTTGCCTTTTTTTTCTCTTTTTTCCCCAGCAAACATCTAAGTTTGTTTTGTTTTGTTTTATAATTCTTTTTTTGTTTGTTTGTTTGTTTCTTTAACGGAGAAGCTGAAAAATACAAGTAAAAATTATTTTTAATTTTTCAATCCTAGATATACATATTTTCTTATTTCAAGTAACGCCAAATAGCTGTAAAATAACAATATTTTTGCTGATTTAGTAGTCGTAAAAATAGTGTAATTTCACAGCCAAGAGCACAATGAAAGAATAAATTATCAGTCATAAAAAACAAACCAAAAAAAGGTTTCTGAAGTGGACATTATTTAAGTTTTTAATTAGCTAATTCAATTTATTTCATTTTATTTCTTGTATTAATCTGTAAATTATTACTTTTTTGTGATTTTATTAGTTGTCTGGAATTTCCCAAATCAGTGAAAATCTGTTAAAATGAAATTAAATGAAATCCAAACCTGATATTTTGCATAAAATTACACAGAAATGAAAACAACAAAGATAAATGACATAAAGTCACACAGATTTTTTTTTAAATAAAATGTAAAAAAGCAACAAAAAAAGACAAAACTAAATCAATGCAAATTACAACAAGATGTTTTTCATTAGATTAGATTAGAAGTAAAAACATTAAACAAGTTTATTGAGAATGCTTGCCATAAAATTAAAATTAAATTAAAATGTATTAAAATAAATGAGGACAAATTCAAATAAATTCAGACAAGATTTTTTTTTACATAAAATTAAGAAAAAACATGAAAATAAAAAAAAGTTAAGTTTAAAAAAGTGTTTTGTGTAAAATTAAATACAGCAACAAAAAAAAGGACAAAACTGTAAATTATTGTCAATTAAAACAAAATGGTTTGTATAAGATTAAAGTAAAAACAGCAAATTATTAAATTAAAATAAGCCTATAAAGGATGCTTGCTATAAAATTCTCATGAAAATATAAAATGACAAATTAAACTAAATTCAAATAAGATGTGTTGCATAAATTAAGAAGAATCACGAAATTAAGTTAAAGTCAGATAAAATGTTAAAGTAAAACGATGCTTTTTAATTATTATTTTATTTTATTTCATTGCATAAAATAAAGATAAAAATACAAAATTGGAGGAGAAACAGAAATAAAACGTATTTAACGCATGAGGACCTCCGTCGCCAGGGGGCGCTGAAGCTCCGCTCAAACACCCGTTTACCCGCAGAAGAAGACGCAGCGGGGAAGCATTGCCGGGTTACGGGAAGAGCCGCAGCAGCAGCGGCAGCAGCGGCGGCCGTTGTTCCAGCTCCGTGAGCGCCATGGCGGCAGTGCGCAGCTTACGGGTGTCGGTGAAATCAGACAGCGGCTCGGACCGCTCGGAGTCGGACTCAGATTCCGAGTCGGACCGAGATGCCCGCGAAGCCGAACCGATGGAGGTGGAGGAGGGGGAGCTGGAGGCGGAGGACATCTCGGTGAACCGCTCCCTGAAGGAGCTGCTGCCGGTAGGTGCCCGGACTAGGCCCCGTCAAATCCGGGGACTGGCGTCTGCTGCGGCCGGCGCCTCACAGGGGAGCGTCGGCGTCCGCTAACCTGGACTCCCGGCCCTCTGTGCTGGAGCTAGTTAGTCGTTAGCTCCTGTTCCCGTCGTCGGTTAGCAGCTAATAACGAGCCGCTGCCGTTAAATGGGACCAGTTTACACTCGAGACGTTTAGTTTTAGATTTTTGTCTCGTTTGTTGTTTCATCACTTGTTGCTTCTTCACGTGCTGGTTGTGTGGAGCGACTCTCACACCAAACTCCATTCAGTAAACTGGAGGTTTTATAAACATTAAAAGGTTGAAGGAGGTTTTTTAAAAAATAGTTTAAAAGCTGTTGAATATTTAAATGTGGGTGCAGTCACTGGACAACTCGGCCTGTTTTAAACTCACACATGTTGAGGATCATTTTGATTTATAAAGCTGTTGTTCCTCTGATCTGTCTATTAACACTCAGCTGTAGAAGTCAAGGGGTTTTTTTGTGGAAAGTTAAATGAATTAACTGCCTGTGGAGTCAAGATTTTCTGACAGTCAAGTTACAGTTAAAGAGCCTGTTTTTAAAAAGGGCTTTGGTAAATGATCACTTTGTCCAATTTATGTTGTTTTTTTTTTTTTTTTCAGCCAGACTTTATTTCTTTGTTTGCTAATTTAATAACTCACTTTGTGTATTTATCTCAGAATTGATTGTTTGTTTACAGCTTCTTTCTCTGCACATTTAGATCATTTCTGCCAGCCGTAGTGACTGTTTGGAGCTGCTGTTGGTCAGCTTCAGGAGAGCTTCAGTGAAAATGCCACCGAACAGAACCTCAAACCCAGATCAGTGTCTGTGTCAAGTGACTTTTTTCCTTGTTTTGCAGGATACGAGTCGTCGGTACGAGAACAAGGCTGGAGCGTTCATCACTGGGATAGATGTCAACTCAAAGGTACGACAAAGAAACTTGGATTTACTTCCTCTGTTTGTTCTGTGCGTGAACTTTAGAACAGGAATCCTGAAATAAAGCGTGTTCTTTGTAGTTTGCTCTTATTTTGAGTTCCATGTGTAGTATTCTTACTGATATACAACTTTTTTTCTGAGATTGAACCTCTGAGGTGCAACGAATCGATTAGCTGTCAGCTATGAACCCTGTAAGCTCCACTTTGATTTACTCCCTGTGGGTTCACTTTTTTACTGCAATATAAAGTCCTGCACCTTTATGGAGAACTCAGAAATGTCTCAAAAAAGTGTGCAACATTTTTTTCAAGTGCTGACTTTCTATGAAAATAGAAAATATAAAATTGCAGCTTTACATGCTATAAATATTCAGCTGTTTACATTTTTTTATTGTATTGAGCCAGTGTGTTTTATTTGGCTCTCAGTCTCTCTAGTTGTCTCCACTGCAACTGTTGTGATCATTTATGAATTTGTTTAATTTTCTTAAAGAAAAAAAAGTCTAAATTCTTTGACTGTGGCGTCTTAAAAGTGAATGTTTTCTGGTTTCTTTCCTCCTCTTTGACAGTAAGCTGAATATTTTGGGACAAAACAAGACATTTGTCATCTTTAGGGAACACTGAAGGACATTTTTCACCATTTTGAGACATTTTATCGACCAAACAATCAACATTTAAACTAAATTCTTATATTAAATTCTATAAATTCTCTGATTTCAGCTTCTGAAATGTGAATGTTTTCTGGTTTCTTTGCTCCTCTGTGACAGTTAACTGAATATTTCGAGGTTGTGGACATTTTATAGACAAAACAACTCATTGATTGAAGTCAATACATGTTAGTTGCAGCACCGGTCTATTAAATCATAACTAATGATTGTTTTTATTACCTATTAATGTCCTGAAATGTCTTATTTTCTCCAAACAGCAGTAATATATCACGTTTTCAGAAGTTTTTACATGATTAAAGTGGTTGTTACACTGAGCGTTTTATTTTAACACCCAGATGTTTGATTTGTTTAGGAGGCGATCGAGAAGAAAGAGAAGCGAGCGAGGCGTTTTCATTTCCGCAGCGAGGAGGAAATCGTCGGTCAGAGGAATGTTTTCCTGGACAAAGACGGCATGAAGAAAGGTACGAGGTGCACTTTGTTTATTGTTTGTGTTGGCGCCGTGTTTGTTTGTTTGTTTGTTTGTTTGTTTGTTTGTTTGCTGATCCTGTTTTCTTCTTCTGTGGTGCTCAGCCATCCCCAGACTGCGCATGGAGGCGATCCACGTGACGGGCGTGGACGACATGAGCACGCAGGACGTCTTCGGCTATTTTAAGGAGTATCCTCCGGCGCACATTGAGTGGATCGACGACACGTCCTGTGAGTGCAACACGCAGCGAAACCGCCTCAGACGATCAAAAAACACGATCAGAATCAGCCACACAAACAAAAATCCGAAGTTAAAACTGAAGTTCCCGTCGGTTCAGCTCACAACATTCTCAAATGTGCGTGTTTATACGTAAAAACAGCTCAAGTGTTTCGTTTCATTTGTCGGTAAAAAAAACAATCGTGTGACAGGTTTCTGCAACGACAATAAAACCCAATAATCCTGGATCCACCGAGACACAAGCATCTGTTCAATGCTTGTTGTTATGTCAATAGTTTTACTGTATTTAGACTTTTTTATTATTCTTTTTTGTGACACCAGTACAGTTTTGCACCTTATTTCTTCTACCAGCGTGATTTGTGGGTCATTTTGTACATTAGTTTCTTTTTTAAGTTTGCTAATGTACAAACACTGAAGCTCCCGTCCTGTTGTTCCTCTGGTTGACTCTTATTATAGATTCTTCCGACGTCATTCTTGGCACCGAACTCGTCCCACATCTTTTTCAAAATTATACATGACTCGGTCAGAAAAGGTGTGCTATGACTGGTGGCAGCGATTTGTCGTACGTTGTTCACAAAATTCATAAAAAGCTGCGTTAAAAATCCCATTTAAACGATTGGAAAGTTGGCTGGACAACTGCAGAAACCAGCCGTCTTTGGAACTCTGTAAATGCGGCAGATTCTCCAGCAGAAACTTAATTCAAAGTTTAAACGGGCCACAAGGCTTTAAATGTTATTCCTCTACATCTGTGTTTTGATATCTTCTGCGTTTTTTACGCAGTCATAGTTTAAGATTTGTCTTTTTTTTTTTTTTTTTTTAAATCCTGAATTTTCCTTCAGTTAAATTTTCTGAAATCCTTGTCTTCTTCTCACAATTTCTACCCTGCATGAACAATTTATATATAAAAGCATTTCTGTCCTCGCTCACCCACTGTGAGTCTCATCACCAAAGGACGAACGGTTTTCCCATAAATCACCTCTTTAGCTCCCATCATGTCTTTGCTCTGTAATTTCGGGTGATAATCAGAAGTGGTGAGTCTCTCTAGCCGGCCACCAGATCTGTAGAAAACACAGCACGGACATGAAAGCACATCAGCTTGTTCAAAACCAGACCGTGCTTCACACACAATGCTCCTCTGTAGCTGAGTCACAGTTTGGAGCTCCAGATGTTTGTGAAGCATTGGATGTAAGTGTAAAACCTTCAGGTCGAAGGTCGCAGACAACAGACCGGCTGATCTGTGTCATCGTTTCCAAGGTAACGTGGTTTGGCTGGACGACAACACGTGCATCCGAGCGCTCATCAACGCCAGCCGGATGCCCGACCCGGAGGCGGTTACCACGGAGACGGAGAGCAGCAGCCAGCCAGACGAGCAGAGCAAAGGTCAGTGTGTGCAGAAGCAGCCTCATCAATCGCTGTGAAAGGGTCAGCGGCGCAGTGCATTATGGGTAAGCTGCTTGGTCACAGGGCGCCGCGGCCAGACGTCGGACGACGAGGACGAGGAGGAGGGCGAGGTGGACGAGGACGAGGAGGACAGCGGCAAGAAGAGCGCCGAGGAGATTGAGGGCAAAGACAGTGACGGAGAGGCGCCGCCGCCGACGAAGGCAGAGGGTGGTCAGGTAGAGCAGCGAGTAGCATGATGTCACGAAGCGATCGGGTTTATCGATCAGTTCCATTGACTCATCGATGTGTCGCAGGTGGACGATCTGTCGCGAGCGGAGAGAGAATCGCTGCTGAGGAACGACCTGAGACCCGCCATCAAGCCCTTCAAAGGAAACAAGCTGTTCCTGCGCTTTGCCACGCAAGGTCACACACACACACACACACACACACACGTGCACCCATGATACGCATACACACACGCATGCAAATATATACACATTATACACACATTATACACACACATATACACACATATATATATATATACGCACACACACACACACATATACAGCCATGATACGCATATACACATGCATACACATAATGATTAAACAATGAGGAGTCTTGCATTATACAGTTTGAATGCACACAGTGGAGTCTAGAACACCGCGACGCGAAGCGGAGTTATTGCTTTACTGAACAAATCTCAACTTAAAATCTGCAAAAAACAAACGGAATTCTGTAAAAACTACAATTCTGTGCAACCGTGAAGCTATCAGTGACTAAAGTCTTAGTTTCATTTTTCGAGGCTTTTTATTCTTTTATGTAGAAGTTAATTTTGGCCGGTTGGTCAGTACGTCCAAGAGTTGCACCAAACTTCATGCATGATGTGATTCGAGCCCTAAAACATACGTGATTTAATTTCCACCTCCAGACGACAAGAAGGAGCCGGGCGCCGCTCGACGCAGCAGATACTACATGAAGTACGGAAACCCGAACTACGGAGGCATGAAGGGAATCCTCAGCAACTCCTGGTGAGACGTTTAAAGGTTGAGTTTGATGGTTTTAGTGGTTGATAATTCTGGATTGGTGTGTCGTCAGATTGTCCGTTTGTGGGCATAAGTGAGTCAGTGGAGTTTCTCAGGTTTTATTCTTCACCTTTACAAACAGAAGGACTCTGAATATTTCAGTATGACTTCAGAACACATTGAATCTTTTCTCTGTCACAGCTGCAGCTGCATTAAAGTGACCAGTTTAACCTTTAAATCGTTGTTTTTGAAGGATGTGCAGCTCGTCACTATTTGGACCTAAATCCATCTGAGCTCATAAAGAAGAACTGTCCTTCTCTGTTTAGCAGGACTGCAAATAAGGATGACTTCAACAATCTATTATTTTCTCGATTAATTAAAAAAAAATAAGAAAGACGACAAAACACAAAATAGTAAAGGCAAGATTTAAAAAAAACAAGAAAAAAAAAAGGCATAACGTTAAATCATATTCATGTATACAAGTTTAAAAACAACATTTTGAGAAGTCCAAACATCGAAATTAATTACGGACAAGATTAAAAAAAATAAAAAATTAATCCAGAAAGACAAAATGTTATATTATATTGGAATAGACAAGTAAAAAAAAAAAAATCTAAAGTCCAAAAATAAAAGTTAAATAAGGACAAGATTTTATGTTTTTAAAAATCAAGATTTTTTTTTTTAAGTGAGTCAAAATTTTTAGAAAGTCAAATGTTAGAATAAAATAATACTGTTTTTTTTAAAGTGAAAAAAAATGTAAGAAAAAATTGCACAGAGGTCAAAACATAAAATTGAAATAACATAAAATGTAAAAACATTATAAAAAAGAAAAAATATTGAAGTGAAGTAAAATAATAAAATTGCAAATAAAAAAAATTAACATTTAAATCAAAAAATACAATTAGATTAAGATCAATAGGAATAGATTAAATTATTAATATTAAGAAAATAAGGTAGAAAATAGTTGACGATGGCAAAACATGACTTTAAAATGAAACAATAAAATCAAAATTCAACAGCAAGCGAAAACTGATCCAGACATTAAAAATAAGATAAAAACAAACAAAAGTCAAACCGTAGAAATTAAATAATAATGTATTAGAATTTAAAAAAGAAAAACAACAATTAATGTAAAGACGTCATTTTAAAAAAAAACAACAAGGAAAAGGTAATTGTGAACGTGATTAATTATGTGACTCCAGTTATTGTTATATTCCGCTGATATGTGACAAAACTTGAGATTTAACGGTTAATAAATCCATATTTGTACTAAGTGACATTGAGAAGAATGTTCAGGTGATTCCTCTGCTGCTTAAAAAGTGGTTCATGTGGGGATCCGCTGTCGATAATCTTTAGATATCATCCATAAAACTCTTTTCTGTATTTTATAAATATCCATCTGTGTGTTCAGGAAGAGGAGGTATCACAACCGGCGGATCCAGCGAGACGTCATCAAGAGCAAGAAGCCTCTGATTGGAGACAGCATGGGACACACGCCGCCGTACACACACCGACACTCGGGTAACCGCACACACCAACACTGTGAGGAAGCAGCTGGTGGGTCTGAGTCACGGCGAGATGCAGTTCAGGGAGAAATCTGGTGCGACTGGCAGAACACAGCGTTTCTGCTAAATGTGCCTGAAGCTGCTCTGAGTCATGTTCGGCCACTAAAAGCTTCCATATCGTTGGTTTATGTCTTTAATCTGCTGCTTCGGCTTCGTCACACCGAATCTTTTGCTTCTTCTTCCTCCTCAGCCGACCTGGTCAACCTGCCCGAGGAGCCCATCAAGGAGGAAGAGGAGGAGGAGGAGGAGGAGGAAGAGGAAGAAGACGGCGACGAAGACATGGACTCGGATGATCGGGTGGTGGAGTACAGGGAGAGGGGCGAGAGGGGCGGTGGCTCGCGCTCCCTGGGGGCGGGGCTTCGCAGCCGGGCGGAGCGGTCCCCGTCCCCCTGGTCGGAGTCGGACGAGATGGACTACGACTTGGAGCTGAAGATGATCTCCACGCCGTCGCCCAAGAAGAGCAAGAAGATGACGATGTACGCCGACGAACTGGACACGCACCTGAAGAGCATCCGGTCAGCACCGCTCGCCTGTCCTCACCTTTATCTGGTCCTCAGCTGTCCTTACCCTCACCTGGTCCTGGTTCTGGTCCTCACCTGTCTTCACCTGTCCTCACCCTCACCTGTCCTCAGCTGTCCTCACCCTCACACAGTTTCATCACAATAAGTTAATATATTGTTATTGTAGATGTTTAGAGTTTGTTTTTTTTCTATACTTGTAACGTTTGAGGACAATGTTGATACTTCCTGCAGCTTCGTCTTTTTATTATACCTTTGCCAATCCTACCTTACGATACCTGCTCGTTAGGTTGCTAAGTGGTTCGCCTCGGGGACAGTGACAGTAGAAAATGTCTGGCAAGGATCACAGGACTCCATCTTAAGTTCCTGATAAGGTGTCCCCATGTTTAGAGATGGCAGTTCTAGTCTTTACACTAGTTCCATCTGACGACGCATAAACACCTAAAGGTCAGACGGTGGAAACAAAAGTAGAAATGATGCTCCTCAGCCAACCATGAAAAGTTTCTCAGCAGAATGTTTCTGAATCTGTAGCGTCTCAAGTCGAGGTTGTGAATTCGGGTGGAAACACGTCACCGTCGGTCATTTCGTGTTCTGGTCGTCCATCTGTCAACAGGAACAGGATCGGAGGGTCGGCGTCGCAGAGCAGGACCAAATCCTCGTCGCCCACCAAGGTGACAGACGTCCGGCAGCTGCTGGAGGAGAAGAGGCAGGGCGGCTCTCAGCACCGACAGCCCCCTCCGGTGTCCAGCAGCGGGAAGACAGGTGAGCCTCTCAGTCCAGGTGTTTGTCTGTTTGCTCCTCCTGCTGCTGCGAGGCTCTGACTCTCCAACGGCGTCTACAGATGTTCGGCAGAGGCTCGGGAAAAGACGCTACTCTCCGGACCGACGGCGCTCGCCCTCCCCCGTATCCCCCAGAGACACACCCCCAGCCAGAGAGCCAATCAGAGACGTGCACCGCAGACTGGGCGTGGCCAGCCAGGACAGCAGGAGCCTCTACTCAAATTCGTCCAAAGAGAGAAAGACAAGTAAATACAACCTCTGCTGTTTTCTGCCACGACTCTGTCAAGATTGCAGATCTCGGTGAAGGATTTCCAAACCACATCACGCCAGATAATGTGTCTAAAAGCCTTTTAAAGTCCTCAAAGCATCCAAAAAGAACCTGAAAACAACTTAGACCTCAAAGCACAACAAAAATAGAGCTTGTTCATATGCACCAGTAGATAAACACACACACATATGTATATATATATATATATATATTTAAGTAGATATTATAAAGAACTGGGGAAGTGTTGCCTTCGCTGTCACTCAGTTTTACACATGAACATCTGTGGGTTTTCTGCAGGCGGTCTGTGGAGTCGGCTCGGCTCCAGCGACGATGACGGCGGCGGCAGCAGCAGCGGACGGCATGACCGCAGACCGAGCGGCCAATCGGCAGGGCTCTTCTCCTCCTCGACGGCGGCGGGGCGGAGCGACGGTGGCGGCGGCAGCAGCGGTGCCGGGAGAAGACGAGGCGACCGAGACGAGGAGGTTGAGGAGGAACAGGAAGAGGAGGAGGACGATTCTACGCTGCAGAGGATGTGGGGTGCCATGATCAAACAGAAACAGGAGCGTCTGACCCACAAGATGAAGAAGAGCCGACTGGACAACCTGCCATCGCTGCAGATCGAGATCAGCCGCGACAGCAGCGACGAGTCCGACGCCTGAAACTGAGCCAACAGGAGGCGAGGAGGGCGGCCAGCCGGAGTTTTTTTCTCGTCTGAACATTAAATCTCCAGTAAAAAGACAAACTTGCAGGTCAGAGGCCAGTGTGGAGGGTTTTTAGTTTCACATTGTGTTTCTGCAGCGCCATGATGGAGGACTTCTGTCTGAGTGAGTCAGCAGCACGGATCTCCTCACGCTGTTCATTTGCTCCCAATCAGAGACTTTGCATCATGTCGGCCTCCCGAGTCCAGTCCAGGTTCTGTGTTTTCCATCTCGTTACCTGAAAACTTTGCTCATAGTTTCCTAAAAATGATTGGCTGCACAGTCCTGCCCAGTTTGGTGCTAAATCCAAAGGAAACGAAGAAAGCCTTCAGCCACCTCCTGGTCCCTCCCTGCTCCATACGAATACATATCTGATATTTATCAGCTGCAGAAGCTCCATCAGCTGATTTCCTGTCAGGATGCAGCAGAGCATCATGGGAAACGCTCTGTTTACTGGGGGCTGCACGATATATTGTTTCAGCATCGACACGTCATGTTGCACCTTTTATTACCCGCTTGATAGGGAAGTCCTGCTGTCTGATAGAACGTCATTCACTCAGACTTGAGGATCTTTTGAAAACGCTTCATGTGTGGGTTTGTCAACATGCAGACTCCACATGTACGGAAAGATGAGTGAGGAGAGAAAAGGAAGATCTGGTTGCATAAAAGAAACGCAGCATCACTCGGAGGGCTTTTCAAATAACGGAACATTAATCACTGATGATTTTGCTTTCCCACAAACACAACTTGGTTTCAGGTAAATCTGACAAAACATCTTGTGTCACTGTTTTCGTATGTGTGTGAGCTGCTCTGGTGGAGACTAGAAGCTTCCACTGCAGCCTGAACATCTCTAAATCATAGCGTCGGTCAGTGAGCAGATTCTCAGCAAGTGAGGACACAATTTAATGTGTATTTAGCCTCTATGAGAATTTTAAGTTGAATTCCGATGCAGATTAGTACATTTACAGTAAAATTGAGAGCTGCACTCTTTATTTTATTTAACTATCAAAGTGTACTAAAACCACGCAGCTCCAGTCGGCTGTTCTAAAATGTATCAGCTACAGAACAGTTGATGGTACTCTGACAGCAGCACAAAGCTCTGGATGACGAGCGCAAAGCCAGATCTGAATGCTATTCAAAGCAAATAACTATTTCAGACATTTTTATTTTGTATACAAATGCACTCCCCTACAAAATCACCCAAATCACTCTGGACTGATTTAAATATTTCCAAGTAGAGCTGTTTGAGTCATCCGGTGGAAATTCCTGCATTTTTTTTCAGTTTATGTCCCAGAAAGCCCAAACATCTCCGTGTCACTGTCTTCATATATCGTGCAGCCCTACTGTGATCATTCCTACGTTACAGTAGAGAAGCCAAACGCTGTCGATGTCTTCTCTGTGTTTACCTTTGACCCATCTGACTGTCGAATCACTGCCTCACTCGGGACCATTCCTCAAAGCTCCCCATCGTCCGGCTGCAGCTCCTCTTCGACAGGTCTTCAATCACAAGAACTATTTCCTGGCCCCGTTAATGTCTTCGCTGTGGAGAGACGGACGCACGAGAGGATCAGTAAAAAGGTGAAAATGAGACGAGACTCCACCTAAAACTCCACCTTCAGCTTCCAGCTGTCTTCGTCTCGTTCCTCTCGAAGCCGAAAGAGCTGATCAGACTCTGAAAACAAAAAAAAAAACAGACGTGAGGAGAAACCAGATTATTTTCTGATGGTTGTGGGACGTTTTCGTACATTTTTTTAATCACCTTCTGTGTTATTGATCAGCATCCAGGTTCGCCGACAGACTGAACACTGTATCGTACACGCGCAGTTGGATTTGTGTTGTTTTGTTTTTTTGAATCCGACCTTTGGGGCCACAGCGACTGTAATCCAGGCAGGTGACATCAGACTGTTGCTCATGAGTTTAGATCATTATTAAAATGCTGACTGGTGTTTTATTTGACAGGTTTGCAGTCTCTCAGTCATGTTGGTGATAATTACTGGGTAACAAGGAAAAGAAATTTTGAGGAAATTCTGTTTTTTGATGCCAAACAGGTCATATGAACATGTGAAACATATGTAAAGTTTCAAAAAATACATGATCAACTTTGCTGCAACTTGAGAATTCACGTGGAGATGACTTTATTTTAAAGCAATTTATCAGGTAAAAACACCACATTTGTTTTTTTTAAAGAGCAAAATCAGCACATCAAAAGGTGACATCGCAGAATCTAACAACTTTATGTATTAAATACGAGACGACACAAAACAACAGCAGAGACTTTAGAATCACCACGAAGAGACAGTGATAAAGAACAGACACAAAAGAACTACAAAGAGGTGAGAAATGACCACAAAGAGACACAGAATGATAACGAATAGACAAAAAGTGATGAAAAACCCTCAAAACAATTACAAAGACTCTCAGAAAGATGCAAAACAACCACGGTGGTGAAAGATAACTACAAAAACAGACACTGAATGACAACAGATGGACAAAAAGTGATGAAAAACCCTCAAAACAATTACAAAGACTCTCAGAAAGATGCAAAACAACCACGGTGGTGAAAGATAACTACAAAAACAGACACTGAATGACAACAGATGGACAAAAAGTGATGAAAAGCACAAAACAATTACAAAGTCACGCAGAGATGCAAAACGACCACAAAGACAAAGCGACACTGTACGACAGCAATACAGACTGATCACAAAAAGACACGCAGAACAACCACAGAGAGACAAAGCATGAACTACCGCAAAGACACAGAGGCACAAAATGACCAAACAAAGCAGACAAATGTGCAACAGCTGCAAGGCAACAAATGGACTGTTCACATAGAGGCCCAAAGCAGCCACAAAGCCATGATTCCATGTCCAGTTATTCATCATGTGAAGCTCCTTTTACTTGAGCTCAGATGACAGCAGGTCATTGGGTTCAGCACATTTTCATCCATGTGTGAACACTAATCACACATTGGCCTGTTAGAACATGTATTAGCATGTTGAATATTTAATTATATACCGATATTATGTGTATAAGCCAAACGATAAATGCGCCAATGCTGCATTATTAATTATAATCTCATTAACATCAGGACTGGGCCGCCATGCTTCGGCCTCATGTTGTTGAGTTGGATAATCATTTCTGGGCTGCCTTCGTTATGTAATCATAAGCTCACCCTTCTCCGCTCTGATTGGCTCATTCGTGTGGCTGTTATTCTGTGGAACCAATCACAATCAAAGGCCCAGGCGAGTGGGCCAAGAGCCAGCCACTAGGGTTCGCCTGACGTCACAGCCCGTATAAATTCTCCTGTGTGAGGTATGAGGCCTTCAGCTAGAGTCGCCATTTTGTTGTCGTCGAAAACAGGCAGTGAACGGCGACAGGCGGCAGCTGAAATAAACCACCAAACCGGCGTTATTTGTCAGCGACTCCGGACAGAACAGTTAGTTGCATGAGTTCATGGACTGCCTGCTGATCAATGGTTATGGTATCGATAAGGCTCGTGTAGGTTTACCCGGGTCGCTCAGCTCAAAGATGGACGACAGCGCGGCGAGGGAAGACGCCTGCCGGGACTACCAGTCCTCGCTGGAAGACCTGACGTTCAACAGCAAGCCGCACATCAACATGCTGACCATCCTGGCCGAAGAGAACCTCAACTTCGCCAAGGATATCGTCGCAATAATTGAAGCACAAATCAGCAAGGTTTTTATAAATATAGAATACTTTCAATCACAGATGCTTCATGTCGATGTATGTATGTAGTAGGCCCACACGGCCTTTAGCTGCTAGCTGAACATGGCGGCTCCTAAATACGTTACATTTCGTTGTTGTTCTGGTTAGCAACTCTCTCCAGTGGCCTGTCGCTCCATTTTGTTGTGTATTAAAGTGAAACACTCGTTTATCCACTAATATATTTCACAACAAGACATGGTCTCGTAGCCTTTAAGTCTTTGTCGAAACTCCGCCGCAGTTTAGCTTGAACTTGGTGTGGTCTCCGATTCAGCGCAAGTTAAAATCCACCTTAAAATCATATAACTCGCGGTTTGCTTGGTTTAGTTCGTGTTTAATATGAAGTGTAGGTTAATAAACTACCTCAAAGTTCACGTACACTGCAGTGATATGGCGAAAACTTGGCGTTTTAACTAAATAGTTCACTAAATTTGTTTAAACTCATGTTAAGGAAGCTAACTTTAGTCATGTAGGACGGAAATGGCAAATCACAGCATGAGAAGTCAACAAAGAGTTACCACAAAATAAGACAACATAAATACTGCAAACTCCAAATTGAAGTTACACTTCCTCAAACTGCCTGAGCTTTGGACGACACTGCAGTGATATGACGAAAGTACAGTGTGTTAGCTATTTAAGTTCATAAGATTGTTTCAATTTTTAAAGAAGGGCAAACTTTATTTTTATAGCTCACAAATGACAGCGTAGCTTAGTAGAAAACAAGGTTAATTGGAAAATAATGCAATATATGAAAACCAGGCTACAAAATGCATTTTTGGAATATTCAATGTGTGATATATGCAGCAAGTAGTTTGACTTCAGTAAGGCTGTTGTCAACTCAGAATTTAGCTTTTTACCATTAAAAATGATTAAAGCTCTCCTAATCAATCCTCACAATAGTTGCCGATCAAAAGTTGACTGTCAAATAAAACAAAAATGTTCCAGCTCTAGCCTCAAGCCTTGCAATAGATTAAAGATAAAACGAGCCTTTAATAACAAGAAAAGGCAGGTTAAATAACATAAATGTCCTGCGATGATCTATCACCACAAATTCATAATTACAAGGAAATAGCTGTTGACTCACATTAGTTACGAACAGAAATGTGACTCAGTAGTCAAAGTAAACGGTTGTGTAATTGGCACCGGAAGTACAACTGTTGATTATTTAAAATTACTGGTTCAGTTATGTCAGCTCCGGAGCATTTAAAGCCAGAGACGCTGAGTGCTTTTAAATTAGTAAGGGAAAAATATCAAAATCTGCCAACGAAATCGTTACCAAACAACTTCTTCACCAATATGTTTGTAAAGGTGTAATAACATGCCTTAAAATGTTGAAGTTCAACTCTGGTGGGAAACCCTGAAAAACACCTGCTCAAGTTAGGGTACCGATAAATGATTGATGAAAAATCGATTTTTTAAAAATCAGATCTTTAATAACTTATGAGCGGTCAAATCAGGGTTTGTTCATGATTCTGAGTTGACTGTTAGCATTTATATTTCACCACAAACACTTCTTTGTTGAAAAAGACCACACTGGAGGCAACAGTGCTGCACCGAGCCACCTCTCAGCCCTAAATACTGAATATAAATCAGTCAATTAGTTTTGTTTTCATGCTACAATGCAAATAACTCCGTGGTGGGACTGGGTTCCTGGAGTTACTTTTTAGAGTGTACATGCGTCTTCAGTTTACATACAGTGTGTAGCAAATAGAAATAATGTTGGTAATCCTAACTGACCTGAAACAGGAAAAGTTTAGTCTGGTTTATTGTCAGACAGTGAGAGTCTTTTTGTAAACTTCTGGTTTCAGCTGGGCGGCTACACAGCGCTGTTACTGAACCTGTGTTGAAATTTCTCAACTACAACTCTGCCAAAATAAATGCTGCATCCGTTTAATCAGATCACCAACAGGCGGCCTCTTCCATGAATGTGTCACACTTACAGACTTCACAAGTTGCATTTTTATACATGGTGCAGGGCCGTCTAAGGTTCAAGGGGTTAACATTGAGGTTATAGTTTGCTGTGGTGATAAACTGGACTAGAAACACTTGTGATGTTGAGTGTAACATCAGAATCACATTCCAGCTTAATGCGGTGCAGCACAGCCCTCCCACCGGCTACCACCTCAGTCATGAACAAAGCCAATAAAACAATTAAATTAACACCTCTTGCCTTTAAAGGGGGAAGATTTTTTTTTATCCTGGATTGTATGGATGTATCTGATAAAAGTGCAGTTGAGTGTAATTCATGAGCCTCATCCTCTTTTGTTTGGTAGATTAATAGTAGAACCACTGAGTTGTTTATTGTGGTGGTGAATCCCCTGTCAGGTTGGTATACATTTCATCAAAAGACGGTTTTAACAGGAAAATAAAGCACAAATGAACTCTTTAAACACAGACATCATTGAACTGCCTGCAGGGTTTGAGTTTCACCAGGTCTGCTAACTTGAGCAGGTGTTTTTCAGGGTTTCCCACCAGAGTTGAACTTCAACATTTTAAGGCATGTTATTACACCTTTACAAACATGTTGGTGAAGAAGTTGTTTGGTCATGATTTAGTTGGCAGATTTGTGAAAAATCTCATAAAATGCCTTTACTAAATAGAGATATTTACAAATAACACCACAAATGTGCCAAACAAGTTCATATTTTAGGGTTAGTAATTTATTACACAGATCTACCTGACCAGTTTAAACATTGAAGTTATGGCCCTGCGATACTGTTAGGGTGGATTTTGACTTTTCGTAGCCACTGGAAGTAATTTGGCCTTTCGTCATTGTATTCATGCAGTATAATCTCCTCAAATCTGCTGATTGGGGTGGGACCACATCAATGTTTTTAAATGGCTACCAGTCGAACCTATTGTTCATAAATATTGTTGGGTAGTCATTGTTCAAACCAGGAGATGGGCCCTCTTTAACGCCCCCTCCGCCCTCTTTAGAAATGCATTTCAGTCAGCAGGTTGCCTCAGTTACCTCTGTGGTCAGTGTTTGCATTTTCTCGCATGGCGACACGAAGCCTGATCGCACCAGAAAACAAAGTTTCTCTGCTTTTAATTCACTAGTGAATCTTGAATTACTGAAATGTTATTGAATGGTTAAAATGTTTATAATAAAAATTGTGAAATGTGCTTTTTGTCATTTTTTATTTCCCAGTGTAATTTATTGGTATGACTCTGGTTTACATTTCCTGACGCACTGAGTCTGACTCGGCTTGTTCGGACTGGTTGTGTTTACTCAGCTCATGCTGCACAGTTTAGAAACAGACTTCTGCTTCAATGTGTAGAGTTTAAAAGCAGCTTCTTAAATCAAATGCCTACAAATCATTTGTCCCAAAGGGTTTACAGTTTTTTAACAACTGCAAGAAGAAAAAGCTTTGAAGGGGTAAAACTTTAAAGTGCATACAGCTCACTGGGTGTGGAGTTAAACTTGCTGATGTGTCATCTGGGTAAAGTACAAAGAGTGGTTTAAGGAAGAGCCCTCTTTGGAGGTAACAAGAATGTGGAGGACTGGACTGAGATCCCTTTTTTTCTGAGCCCTCAGTGCATCTTGGACATATTTTTCTGCCCTCACTTTGAGGAAGGATCATAATCTTCTTTGCAGGCACTGAACAGACTGTGAAAGATTTTGTTTTGGGGTTGATCACAGCTGTGGTCAAACCTTGAAGAGTTTTTTTATATTTTTTTATTTTGAAGCCAAAATGAAGAAACAACACACAGACTCTGGACAGCACTTTTGACACTTTTTCCCCCCCTCCAGGCTTGTTTTTCCCCACTTTTTAATTTGAATTTTTCACACAGCCAGTGTTTTGATGGGGAGGGTTTTCCTCCCCTGTTAAAATTGTGATTGAGCATTTGTTCTGAAATGTTGCTTTAACCCCTGTTGTTTTCTAAACTTGTTGAGTTCTCTATTGCTCCAGGCCCCAGCTACCGAGAAGCTTCCAGTTTTGTACTTAGTGGATTCCATAGTGAAGAATGTTGGAGGAGAGTACCTTGCAGTGTTTGCTAAAAACCTAATCACTTCATTTATATGTGTCTTTGAAAAGGTACAGTTCTCTTTGCTGCCGTTAAGCATTGTTAAAAATTAAGCACTAAGAATCTTAGCAGCCCACTTCACTTCCCTCCTGTTTGTTGTGTTGCTTGCTTTTTATGTGTAGTCACCTGCACTCTGCTCCTGTGTACTTAATGCCATAATGTAGTCCTGTTAATAAAAGTGTGGGGTGGAGGGTTAATGTCATGCTTCTAGATTTTTACATCTTAATTTTTTAACCCCAGAAAGTATTTTAAAGCTAAAGCAAACGCAGTACTAACACGTGCATTAGCCTTTGCTGTGATGTTACTGAAGTTGGTTTTTTGTTGGTAGCTGTGGACCAAGTCCTGTCCTCTGTTTGTAGGTGGACGAAAACACTAGAAAGAGTCTGTTCAAGCTACGATCAACGTGGGACGACGTGTTTCCTCTGAAGAAACTGTATGCACTGGACGCCCGGGTCAACTCTGTGGACCCGGCGTGGCCCATCAAACCGCTGCCACCCACCGTCAACGCCAGCATTCACGTCAACCCCAAGTTTTTAAAACAGGTGTGTATGTGCTGCAGACACCACACCCGACGGTCCGAGCTAGGTTCTTAAGTTACAGGCAGTCAGATTTTGAGACCTCGAGCACCTCTCAAATACAAAATCAAACAAATGTAAGGTAGTTTATGTTCGTTCCACACTGTATTTTCTATTTCACATGCTTTTATTAAACTGGATGTTGACATTTTCGGGTAAACTCTGTAAATGTCAAACACAAAGTAGTTTCTGGGTGTTTTTTAGTTCTAACAATTTGCTCACTTGTACTCATTTTTCACTGCAATATCAAGTCCTGCAACTGTGTGACCCAGTTAATGATGATAATAACTCAGTAGGTTAAATCATTTTTAGAAAGCATTTGCCTTTCTTTGATTATTTTTTCCTACTAAAATTCGAAGAAAAAACTAGAATAAACATGTACAACATTTTTCCAAGTGCGCACAGGTGTTACGAGTACTGGTAGAAATATCAGTTTTAAGCTGAGATTTCGCTCCGTTTTCTGACAGGAAAACACGTTTCAGATGAGTTAAACGACTGTCAAAGTTTTTAAAAAAATGTCTATTTTTACATTTCCTGGCTCTGATGATTCTTGTAATTTTTGGTGACCCGTTGTGTGCATTAAAGACGTGTTTAAATCCTGCAGGGTGAGTTCTGGGTTTTAGAGAGCTAAAATAAGAGTAAAACAATTCAGTCATTGATGTGAAGCTTTTTTTAATGTGTAAAACAACCTTTAGAAGAAGATTAACTTTTTTTTAAAACTTCAATTTAACACAAATGGCTACATTCTCAATTAAGGTGGCATCTAATTAAAATGCTCAAATATGCTTTTTCATGAAGGAGGAACCAAATTTGTGCACTTTAGCACTGCAACAGTTTGTGCTTAAAAATGCAGCACACTTAGGAACCCATAACAGTTAGTGAGTTATTAATAAGATATACAGCTGATTAATTTACTAACCATTTACTCATTCCAGTGTCTGAAAACAAGAAGATTTTCTACTTTTAATTTCCATTTCATAAAGTTAAAAAAATTACTTCTGACAAACACTATTTCAAGGCGTCGCCTTGAATTCAGAAAGTGTGATGTCATTTATTTTTGTTTTTGCAGTTTATTGCATTGGATGGACTCAGCCATTTGTACCATTGTTGGCTGTTAGCCACCATTAGCATCCTTATTTTGGTACATCATCGTCACAGCTATTAATCCAAATAGCATTCTGATGAATATGTGTCTCTAAGGCTGTCTCTTACCGCCAGTGTTTTAAAACTATGATTGTGTAAAGTCTGAATCTACTATTGGCTCTGAACTCCAGCTGTCAGACAAATGCCCTGCAGCTAAAAGTAGAAACTATCTGGAAATGGAAGAAGAAATCAGCAGAAGCTCTTGAAAGAGAAAAATGGAGGATGTAGGTTCACTTAGTCTAACTTTTTCTTTGTCTCCTCCTCCTCCCTCGTCTCCAGTCTGAGGAGGCGTCCTCGCCGCAGCCGGCCCCGGCCCCGGCCCAGCCGCCCCCTGCAGCACCGGCCCCCCAACCGCCACCAGCAGCGCCGGCCCCCGCTGTCAGCCAATCGAGCCTGACCCGGGAGCAGCTGATCCGGCAGCAGCTGCTGGCCAAGCAGAAGCAACTGCTGGAGCTTCAGCAGAAGAAGATTGAGCTGGAGCTGGAGCAGACCAAAGCACAGCTGGTAGGACGAAGATCTGATTTTCATTCCTTGATGCTAATTATTATCATCAATACACATGTTTTATCCTGGTAAGAAGGAGTTGCCACATGTTCATCAGCTTCAGGCTCTAATCTGGCCATCTGCTGTCAATGAGGAGATTTTTTCTGGTTCAAAGTCATTGTGTGGCTTCAAAAATCACCTGAAGTTCAGTTTCTTAAAAAAAATTTAAATTAAAACAAACCATGTAATAATTTTAGGTGAAAAAGTCACAGACATAGTCAAAAATATAAATCACCCTTTATTAACAGTTGTTCACTCTTTGTACAGGCTGGTGGATTTGTGCTACCAACCACGACTGCAGTCACGACTCCGACAGCATCCAGCATGGCGTCGAAGCCCGTCATCCAAACTGCTCCGACGGTCCGACCCTGGATCCCTCCTCAGACTCCGGCTGACACCAAACCGTCCACCAGAGACCCCCGTCTGAACCGCTCTGGCCCCCCAGCTGCCTCCCAACCCAAAGAACAGCCGACTAAAAAAGAGAGCACCGGGAGCTCTCACACTTCCACACTTGAGAAACGACTGCTGGAGAAGTCCGTCCGGCCGGACAAGGCCCGGACCCCGAGGAAGGACGTGTCGGAGGAGAAGCCCAAGTCCAAATCTCCGTCTCCAATGGCTAAAAGTGTGCAGGGCAAAAGCAAACAGGTGGAGGCTGAGATTCAGAAGTCGACTGACGGCACAAAGAAAGATCCTCGGCTGAGAAAACGGACACAGGATAAGAGCGGAGACACCAAAGACGACGAGCTGAAGGAGAAGAAGAGATGCAGCGACAAGAAGGAGCGAGACGAGGCAGCTCGCGGAGCAGAGCCTCAGCGCTTCGGCAAGGGGAAGCTGGCGAACGGCTCAGTGACCAAACACGACCGCGACGATGCAGCCGAGAGGGTCGGAGGCAACGCCAGAACACACGCCAGGAAACGCACCCGCTCGCGGTCCAGGTCGCGCTCGCCCACCTCCTCCCCAAAGAGGAAGGACAGGCGGTCGCCCAAAAGCAGAGCCAGGAGCAGCTCCCTGTCCCCATCGCCATCACACAAACCCGGCAAACCCAGGAGGGTCCGCGCTGACGAACTGCAGCATGGAAAGCCCGGCCGAGAGGACCGGCTCGCACCCAAAAAGAACCAATCGGACAGCAGGAGGTCGAAGAGGCCAGGGGACGACCGGCACTCCGAGTCCAGAGACTCCCATTCCCCTCGCAGCCACGACGGAGGAAGCAAGGAGTCGAAGGAGGCGACTCACCGCTGGAGGAGCGGCTGGGAGGAAAACAAACAGTGAGTCCAACATTTCTGTGCAAACACCTGAAACTAGACCTCAGTATCAAAGCTCAGGCCGTCAGTCCTCACAGACTGCTGTCAGATAAAGTCCTGTTTGTTCTCGGCTCAGTTTCAACTGCACTTCAACACCCTGATTCTCTCTTTTTGACTTAGGTTGACCTTATTTTACACAAAATAGAAATAATCATTAGTTACGTGTAGTGATGTCTCCATCCTGAAGTGATCGGTATCGAAACCTTTCGCTAAGACATTTGTCTGATTCTTTGTTTACATCTGTTGATGTGAGATGGCAAGTAGGATCAATGTCAGAGTTTATCCCAGCTTAATTTCACACTGGTGAACAATCAAGAGTGCAGTAGTTTGTAAGCATGGTTTTAAATTGACCTACATGTTGTGTTAAGTTTTAGTGCTGTTGAAAATATGTCATGTGTATGCAGCACAAGAACAAAACAGTTTTCCCAAATTGCAAAGTTGTATCCCGGCAAGAGTTCGAGTATTAGCCAGTCGCTTGAGTTTATCTCTGTTACATCAGTCAGTTTGGATGTTTTTGTGACTTCTGTCTGCTTTTGACCAGCACTCTTAAATCTACTTTACATTGACTGTCGCAGTGTGGCTTGAAAACAGCAGCACATTCTCACATCTGAGAGCCTGAAGTGCCAGTTCAACAGTGAGCAGGTCGTCTCTGTGATTCTGCATGCAGCAGTAAAAAAAGAAGTAAATTTGTGTCTCTGCTCCAGTATGAAGCTTTCTGAAGACTCTCACCAGAAGCCTGGACCTCAGAGACACAAACCGTACAGCACTCCGACTCGGCCCACCACCCCCAGAACCCCGAAGCATCGCCTCAGCGTGGACGCCAACCTGCAGATACCCGAAGCCCTGAACTCTGCCTCCAAGAAGGACCTGCTGAGGAGGGTACGTTACAAACACCGCTCACAAAGTTACACATATATAGAAAGATAATGAACAACAGCTGTTGTTTCCAGCCCCCACTGTTGTCACACTGAATGACAAAATGTACAACTACACAAACCAGTTGCATTTTAACATAACAATGTTGATGAAGCAGAGAGGAAATCCGTTATTTTGAACATGAGTATTACTGTAACTTCATCGCTTCATCATACGAAGCCAAAGTTGTGATATTAGTTTCGCTTTCCAGCCCTAGCACTGCATTAGCCGCCGTGTCTGGAGCTACCTCTAGCTTCTGCACCTGAACTCTGATCATCAGGTGTGTCTGAGTTGGACCTCTCTCTCTCTCTACATTTATTTATTTTTACTTTTTTATCATAATTGACTACAGATTATTTAATCTTTGGAACAAAACAACATTGTTTCTCACGCCAGACAGGGAGAGAAGAAAAAGTTCTACTTTTAACCACAATATCTAACACATTAGCTGCCCACGACAGCTGGACTCCAGATCAGCCTGATGGTCATCACACACTTGCATAAATGCAGCCACATGAATTTAACTGATGCAGTCCTGAGACCTGACATCAAACTGCATGTCGGCACTAAACAGTTAAGGCTCCTTTAATATTCATCTAACAGCAGCTGTCTTTGCATGTCCCTCTGCAGGCCAGCAAGAGTTTGGAGAGCGGCGAGATCTCCCAGGAGGACTTCCTGAACATGGCCCACCAAATCAAGCACTTCTTCCAGTATCAGGAGGAGAAGCAGCAGCGCTCGGAGGGCTGGGACGACGCCGCCAACTTCCCCTTAAAGAAGCAGCCGCTGCTGGGAATGCCTCCGTCCGCTCAGCCCCGCCCCCACGAAGCCATGGATGCCGCCGAGCTGTCGTACTATGAGCACAAGTCCAAGCTGAGGAAGACGCAGGTCAACCACCGTCCTGCCGGAGAGGAGTGGGAGGGCGAGGACAGTCCGGAGGAGGGCGAGGATGGAGCGCCGGGTGAAAAGACGGGCGGCAGCCGAAGCGCCGGACATCCATCGTCGCATAAATACAGCCGGGCATCACGGGACCGGCCAGGTGAGCAGAGTGCTGTCCTGTCTTGTCGTAATAAGAGTGTCTTTGAGGTTTCAGAGGACAGAGGGGTGAAACATAAAGCAGGGTTGACATAGCAAGGCTTTCTTTGTTAGCTGCCGCGACAAAACCTAAAACCCCAGTCAGAGATAATGAGAATCAAGACGACAGTTATCGACTTTCTTCTTCAGACGCTGTGTGCTCTCACTAAAAACACAGCATTTAACACATCATTTGACTCTTCTTCCTCACAAATGTACCGATTGTGTGCCGATTCGTTTGGTCAGAGGGTGTTATAATGGAAAGCTATGAGGAATATGAAGATTTATTACAGTAACAAGCAACACTGAAACTGCAAATGGTGCAAGATAAGAACGCTGGTAGAAAACTGTTCGTGTTGTCTGTTAATATATTTTTTTCCCCACTCAGCGACTCTGAATGCGGCCGCATATTTCTGACATGACAGCTGCACATTAGAGCTGTTAAACTTTAAATGTTGTTGAAGAAGGGAGTTTAGGTTTTGTGAAGGATATGTAAAAAATCACTTTAGCTTTTTGCCAAATCAAAGTTGAATTAATTAATTGGTTGAATATTGTCTCTAATAATAGAACAGAATAATTTTTTATAAATAAATACCAATAGTCGTTTTAACGTGTTCGTGACTCTTCCAGGTGAGAGGAGAAGCAAAGAGCGCGAGCAGCAGCGACCTTCACTCGCCCCCATGATCGAGGAGTACAACCACGGCAAAGAGTTCCCCACGCTGAAGTCACTGCCAGGCCTTCGCTTCAGGAGGAGAGTCGACCCCAGAGAGTCGAGTGAGTCCACAGCTCCTCATGTGTTCATCGTGATGTGTTGCCGGCTCACACTGAAGGAAAATGTTGTTGTCTTTATCCACAGAGAGGTCAGAGTTCAGGTTTTGGAGCTGCAGGGAGTCAGTGTGTCGGTCAGAGATACGTCAAAAGGGTTAGACGCTTTTAAAAAGATCCCAGATCACACTTAACCACAATTTAACCACAACAGTAGAAGCAGTCACTGCTCCTCACAGGTAGCCTCTCAGAGGATCATGGGAGTTGTAGTCAGTAACTAGTTAGAGAATTTAGGACAGAAGTTCTTTTTAACCCTCTGAACTCCAAAACAGTTTTGCATTTTTTTTGTTTAGCTTAGATTTAGTTAATATTCCCAACACCATAAGACATAGATGAGACACAGATGAGTCGTTTGTACATTTTTGAAAAATCTGATAATTCTTTGTTTGCAATTTCTGGCTGATGAATGGTGTCAGTTTGGTGAATATTAGTATTTTTAAAGGCCTTTCAAACCTGCTGGCTGGTTTTGGGATTTAGAGGGTTAAAGTGGCTTCTCTGTGTTGTCATTCTTAAATGAGGTTCACTGAGTTGAAGCTCGTGTTATTTCTTGTGAAACACGTAAAATGGAGTAACACAGATGTGAAGTTTGAGGAATATTGACAGAACATCTGTTTCCAGGTGAGAGGGAGTGGACCTCGCCGCTCACAGAGCGCCAGCACTACGAGGAACGCGAGGAGCAGAAGAGCGGCTACGATGCTCCGCGGAGGTACGCCGACTCCAGACACCCCGACTCCAGACACCCCGACCCCCGGAGGCCAGAGGGCCCCCCTCCGTCCGGCACCGTGGTTCTCAGGAACTGTCCGAGCCCAGCTGGTCTGGACTCTGCTGCCCCCCGCTTTGAGCGTGAGCGCCTGTCACCGCTCCACCAGAAAGAGTCTGCAGACATGAGCCCGGTTCCTCGCTTCGAGAGTCCCACCAGCGAGCATTCGGATGACGGGCCGCTAAATCTAGACGCCCCCCCTTCCCACCTGCCCATTCCTCCCAAATCCATCCTGAAGGCACCATCCCGTGTCGGCCCGCTGCCTGGTGTCCGGCAGCACGCTGACTCCCCGGGACACACCCCTCCGCACGAAGCAGGACACCCCCCCTCTCGGTACAACGGGCCCGGACACCCCTCCAGGCCGCACCCCCCAGGGTGGTACGAAGGCGGTGGCCCCGGCCGCTACGATGACACACAGTTTGATGGACCTCACCACCAGGGCCCCGGTAGGTTCGATGGCGGGGGTCCGCCTCATCACAACATGCCAGAGAGGGTGGATGGCCCCGGGCAATGTGAGGGCCCCCACATGGCTCACGGTCCAATGAGAGGTGGAGATGGCATGGGACGATTTGATGGCCCCCCTCAGGGGCCGGGCAGGTTTGTTGGCCCCGTTGGCCAGCAGGCGCCTGTGAGGTATGAGGGCCAAGGGCCCGGGCCGGGCCACTTAGAGGGCCCGATGCAGCGCTTCGACGCGCCGCGGGGCTTTAACAACATGGGCCCCGGACCAGGTTCTGGGCCAATGGGCTTCCAGCAGCAGCGTCCAATGCGCTTCGAGGGTCCGATGAGGTTTGAAGGCCCCGGTCGCTTCGAGGGGCCCGGCCAGCCGGGGCCCAGGTATGATATGCCCCACCAAGGTGGGCCTCCACGCTTCGAGTACCCCGCTGGCCAGCAGGGGCACCCCAGGTTTGGCCCCCAACACAACCTGCAGCCCCCCATGAGACCGATGGCTCCACCCATCTACGAGAACCCCATAGCCCCCCAGCAGAACTTTCCGATGGCCCCCCAGCGTTTCCCGGAGCCCATGAACCCTCAGTTCCCTGCGGGGCCGATGGCTTTCCCAGCGCAGCCAAACATGCAGCCAGCGGGAAACTTCAACATTCAGCCGGCGCCACCCTTCAGCCAGCCGGCCCCCGGCCCCTTCTACAACCCTGCAGCCCCTGCCGTCGGCATGCAGCAGCCGGTGAGCAACTCACCAGACACAACACACTTATCAGTCTAGTTATTAGGATCAATATTTAACCGTTGGAGCCATTTTTTACTGTTACTGCTGCCTCAGCCCTTAATATACAAGTAAATGTAATAATTCTGACTATATGACACAAGCACTAAATGATATCAACTTTTTAAGAACAGCATTGGTTAATTGGATGTGTGTCCTGCAGTGATTTCACACATTAGGTTTAAATCCAAGAAGTAAAAAAAAAAAAAAAAAAAAAAAAAAAAGCAGAACAGCATTATCGTTTTTAACAGATTGTCTAGTTTCTACAACAAACAGCTTTGGGCAAAACATTATTATTTTTAACATTTGCACCTCAGGTCAAAAATAATTCCCTTTAAAAAGTCACAGAGGAACTCAAACTATTAGCATTTTAATCAAATCCGTCCTCCATACATTGTTGTTGCACTACAGACGACTGTCTTGAGACGTTATTTAAAATCACGTCTGTGTCGGCCAGTCTTCACCGACATACACCGTGCAGTTTTCTTACAGCTACATAATAAAACCACCTGGTTTTTATCAGGATGTTATTTGTGCATCTTATGAAGCTCCTGTTAAATGTTTCTTTTTTCTCTTTCAGGTGAATTTATTGGCAAACATGAACCAGCCGTTCTTGCCTCAGACCTCAGTGCCTTTCGGACAGCAGAGTAAGTGTGTGATTTTACTGCAGCTTCTGTGGACATCAGCGTACATTCACTGAGCACAAAGTTTAGACATGAATCTGTTTGTGTGGAGTCGCATTTGGCTCCGTTTATCTGCAGGTCCTCCAAAGTCTCAGTTGATTTCCATTTCCTGACATTGAACCAGTTGTTTGTGTCGCTGCAGCTCCGCAGGTCGCCCCTCCAGAGAACCACTTTGGTCAGGTTGACGTCAATGACCTGCTGTCCAAACTCATCTCCACCGGCATCATCAAACCCTCACAGCCCGAAGCCGCGCCGACCTCCAGCAACGGTCAGTCTGCTGAGAGCCTCCCTGTTTGTTTTGGGTGTGGTGAATCTGTTTTCCGACCAACACACTCTCTAAATTATTCCAACACCAAATAATTGTAACGCAAATAATGAAAGGAAAAGTGGAGTCAAAGATCTTTGGTCCATTTGTAGATTTATGTTAACCGAGCTCGACTGAGGAGAGCATCAAGTTAAATATGATTCTTTATCCTCCACAAAGTCTGATTCTTACCTGATTGTGCCACCACCTTGTCTGTGAGCATCTTTCTTTGGTGGTCTGAACATTTAGGCCGACAGATTGGATCTAACGAGCACAAAGGTTCACAGAACGTCTTCATCAAAGCTTCTTTTCACACACTGACCATCTGTTTCTCTGTTTAATGACTCCTTATGGACATGTAGCATCAGAACAGTTAATTAGTTTAGTTTTCACTCCTAAATAATGACATCGTTATATTTTAGTTTCTATGATTGTGTGTTTTAGCTCGTATCTAAATAATAAATGTTACTGCATTAGTTAAATTGGCCTTTTCTTGGACATGCACTTGATTAGGGATCAATTATGTTTTGTTTCGTTTTTAGGATATTAATTATTGTTAATCGAGAAAGACAAATAACCAATATGTGTGAAGTTATCTATTAACAGCATGTGATAGCAGGACACCTGTAATTCATAACTGGACTTCTTCATTAGTGAACTTTACTCTAACTGATCCTGTACAACAGACATTATGTTTGAGTGTCACATGTTCTCTTGTTTACTGTGAGATCAGTAAGTTTGTCTGCTGCTGTTCTGTCTGCTGTTGTTCTGTTACCCTCTAAGGTCCAGATCTTAAAGCATTCGTTACTGTTGATAATCTGTGGCTGCCTCCTAATTTAGCCGTTAGCCGTTAGCGTAGCCTTAATGACAGCAGATCTGTGATGATGCTCCCTACACCTGATGATAGCTTCCAACGTGTGTTTCATGTTTTTAAAAATGCTTTTATTTTTTCAGAATCTCCCACAGTGGTTCCAGCACCTCCGTTGGTGGAGGAGGAGGAAGAGGAGGAGCAGGAGGAGGAGGAGGAAGACCTCCCAGACCTCACCAGCTTCAGCATTGACGACATGAAACAGTGAGTGCAGCCAATCAGCTTCACCTGAAATCAGTTCAGAAAATGAATCAGAAAGCAGCATCTGACCCGTTGAAGGTTTTACAGCCTCCAACCTTTTGAAGTTCGTGTGTTTTCCCAGATAAAAATGTTCTCAGTTGAGCTTTAGAGGTCGGGTTTGTTTCGTCGTAGCTGCTTCCTGCTGTCTGATCCTTCGGTGTTGTGACCATTCTGTCTGCCGTGACATTTCCTCCCTCTCAGGCGCTACGAGAGCGTGGTGACCAAGCTGTACTCAGGGAACCAGTGCTGCCTGTGCAGCATGCGCTTCACCGCCGCTCAGACCGACATGTACGCCGACCACCTGGACTGGCACTTCAGGCAGAACCACGCCGGCAAAGTGGCCAGCAAGAAGGTCACGCACCGCCGCTGGTACTACAGCCTCACGGTGAGAACACACACTCATCTCCTCTCGCTGCAGAACTCACCTCAAACCACCTTTTAAGCTTTACATTAGCAGTCAGACTGAATGAACCACAGGAAAACTGTCACATCACCTCAGACTCCTACATGTGCTGCGTAAATATGTTTGTGTATTTGGTCCTGATTTGCTGCAAAGTTTGTTTCTCACTGCTGGTGCTGCGGCTCATGGAACGCAGAGAAAAGAGATGGAGAGAATATTCAATCAACAGCATTACTTTCACTTTGATTCGGCCGAAAGTGAAGTGATTTCTGTTTGTTATGGAACCGTGTCGGACCTAAATGTTAGTTATCGTGTTTAAATGAAGTTTAACGGCTCTCGTTTCATTTGCAGGAACAGTTTGGCTTTTTACCACACGTTTTTTCAAATTCTTAGTTTTTCTATGAGTCAACTTTTTTATTGTATCTACGTGTTCCTCTGGACTGAAGTAGACGTCACACGATTGGTTCATTTGTACAGAATAAGAATCAAATTACACATCAGACGCCCTCTTTAATGTGAGTCTAACAAAGGAAAACCTGGTGAACAAAGAAACTTGATAACTTGTTGAGTCAGACTGGAGTTGTAGGTTTTGTTAATCCAGCAAACAAAAAATAAAGACGGGACGTGTTCGGACTTGTTTCGCAGCTCCGCCTACCGATCTGATTGATCAATCCTGCGTCTGTGTTTGTTTCCGTCAGGACTGGATCGAGTTCGAGGAGATCGCCGACCTGGAGGAGCGAGCCAAGAGTCAGTTCTTCGAGAAGGAGAACGAAGAGGAGGTGCAGAAGAATCAGGCGGCCGCCAAGGAGAAGGAGTTCCAGAGCGTCAGAGCCACCAAGGACCAAGTGGGAGAGGTGAGTTACAGATAGTCAATCAGCTAATCAATAGCAGCATCACAGGCCCGCTCCACCACCACCACCGTACAGATTAACACAACACTCATCGTTCCATTTCAGGCTGATGAGGGTTTTATTATTTTTCGTCGATGCCTGATGCCTCAACATTGATTTACTGTGATTTAATGAGTTCTGTTTGACTGTTAAAGAGAAACATAAAACAGGAAAACACGGTTTAACCTGTTAAAGTGAAACAATGGTGTCGCTAACGTCAGGGTTTTAGTCTTATTCTGGGCATTTAATAAACTGCACTGGACCAGTAAATGAAACCAAAAACAGCAGCAGGTCTGGACAGAAACTCGCTCCCAATAACAAAAGCAACGAGTAGAAAAACTGTTTACGATTGTTCTTGTCTTTATTTAGATATTTAAATATTCACGGACACGACCAGTTATTTTTAAAATAGTTTGTCATGTCCTGTAAATATTCAATATGTGCAGTCTGTCTAATTGTATATCTAAATAAAAACAATATATACAATATTTTATTTAAATCAAAATGAATATACGACATTGTATCTGAATTTTATTTTCAAAAACACACATCAGCAACAGTTTTAAAGGTGGTTGTTTGTGTGTTTTTGTTTGTTTTTCTTCTCTTCGTTTGTTTGCTGTGGAATGAAAATAACCACCGTGATGTGTTTGCAGTCATGTGAGATCTGCCAGGAGGCGTTCGAGACGTACTGGGTGGAGGAGGAGGAGGACTGGTTCCTGAAGAACGCCATCAGGGTCGACGACAAGGTGATGACGCTGAGCCCCCCCCTCCCCCTCACATGTTTACAACTTCCCTAAGAAATAAACATGTAAACAAGTGTTTGTTTTCTCTCCCCAGAACTTCCATCCCTCCTGCTTCGAAGACTATAAAAACGTAAGTACAACAGATATCCTCCCTCGACTTTCTTCGTCCGTCTCTTTGTCGTATTGACAGTTTGTGAAGCGCCATCGGTTTGACCGGCTGTCGTTTGTCTCCTCAGACGTCGTCGTATCTCGACGTCACGCCGTCGCCCAACAAGCTGCTGGCTGATCACCCGCTGGGCGCCTTCGTGAAGACCGAAAAAGAAGAAGAGCAACAGGAGGAGGAAGGCGCTTCGTGTGCTGTCGCCGCTGCCGCCGCCGCCGCCGCTGCCGCCGCCGCCGCCGCTGCCGCCACCTCAGTGAAACAGGAAGTGGAGAACGTCGAGCTTCCCGACGTGAAGGAGGAGGAGGAGGAGCAGGAGAAGGTTTTAACGAACCAGTCCGAGGAGCAGGCGTGAGCTCCGGTCACATCAACGGCTTTTTTAGCTGCAGAGCTCGAATCCTCTGCAACTCAACTTGAATACATTTTTGTATTTGGATCGTACGCGGCCATTTCAGGTCTGCTGTTTCTGTGAATCAAAGTGTTTGGTTTGGTCAAAGCTGTACATGATTTAATTTATAAATTAAAGTATTTTTTGTATCTCCTGTGTAACGGTGATTGAATCGAACAGCCGCTGCGTGCTGCCTGTTACCGTCTGTACATAGTTGCAGTGATTGATGATTGATCGGTTGGTTTATTGATGGGCAGTCGCAGGTGTTGAAGGTAAGCATCATCTGAAGTCTCGAGGATTCGACTCCGCCGAGGACCCCGTCGTCTTTTCTTTGTTTTTCTTTGATTTTGAATCAATAAAAGAGTCTGAAACGTGTTTGTGTGATTTGACGCTTATTGATCTCAGTTTTACTGTCATTTAGGTTTCACAACTAAAAATAAAGCTGCAGTCAAATGAAACGACCTGTTGTGTGTTTTTATTGTTTGATACTGGACTCGTTCTGCATCGTTCTGGGGCTTCTGTGGTCATTTTGCGTCGTCTGACGTCACTGTCCTTTTCAACTCAACTAGTTGAGGTGGACGTCTGGCCTCCCTGAGCCTGGTTCTGCTGGACATCTCTCCTGTTAAAATGGAGTCCATTCTCTTGAACATTGCAAAAAGAATAATAAAATACTGTAAAATAAATAGGAAATAAAGACTACACTTACTCATAGGGGATCAAAGAAATCCTTGGATTTGTTGGGTTTTCATGTATATTTTTGTTGGTTCAAAACTTCAGCTCATCAGGTTAATCTTCATTATTAATCATACTGTGAGGTCTCAGCATTAATATTCATATATGTTAAGTTTTATTACCCGATAAAAGGTGAATTATTAAAATGTACAAATGAAAATATAAATTTTTGATGTCAAAGCTTAAAAATAGGTCCATCAACATGCTTGTGTAGCTTGTACAAGATGTTTCTGGAACATATCTGATATATTTTTCCTCCTTTGTGTTATTTTTTTAAACTTGCACGTCTCTCGTTATAACTCATTCCTCTTCCGCCTCTTTGGCATCAACTTAAATGTGTTTATTTGAAACGGAAACATTCAAACAAAAATGAATGTTCCTGGATTGACCTAAACATAAGTTTTCACTCCTGGTCCCTTTGTATTTAGATGTTTATAAACCACACAGATGTTTTAGTTTCATTCTTTTGATTTAAAGACTCAGATTATCTGCCGTCAGTCATTGAGCTGTTTACCAGTCGGTTTGTTGGGCTTCAGAACAGAAACAACACGAATCTAACCTCAGTTTTGAAAAAAACTTTATTAAAAACAATTTCAAAAACTTTATAGTACAACTTTAAAAAAAAAAAAATCTGATCCAAAACATTGTTTTTAAAGGGTCACTTCACTGAAATCAAAGATTTTCACACATTTAATATGTGGATCAAAAAAGCAAATCCTTGAGTGTTACCAAGTTCAGTATAGTCAGCTGACACTTCAGAGATATGACAAAATTCAAGAACTTTTACTGTTTACATAGCTTTTTGTTTGTTTGTTTGTTTTTACATTTGTTGCACTGGCCCTTTAATCAAATACTACTTCTACCACAACTAAAATTGGATAGGGTTGAGGGATTAAATGTTCTTCAAAAGTGTACTTAAATCTAGAACTTAAGTATTTCGTGGCAGTGCTTCTGTTTCTGCCTCCGTTTTTCTCCTTAAAGAGCCCTTCTTCTACTATATCTTGCTGATAGTAGGTCGGTGCTTGGATTCCTACACTGCCATGCTTGTACTTTTACTGCAAAGTCAGTGTTTTATGTAACTGGAACTACTTGTTGTTGTAGTTCGAGGTGTCTGACGTGGATCTTCACCTCCACAGCCGGTAGACTCCCAGAGCGATGGCGAGGCAGGAGAAGACGGTCGCTGAGAGGAAACACCGAGTTAAACACAACTTGGCGGGAAGCTTCATTCACAACAGCTACACGTTTTGGACATTTTGTCTACGAGAAGCTAACAAAAACACATCCAATAACTTCCTGTTTTTCATGACGAACACAAAGAACCGCGACTTGGTTTACCTGCGAGGTAACGAATCGTCTCCAACTTGAGCGACTCCAGCACCGTTTTGAGCGACGCCACCTGCAGGTCGATCTTCCTGTTGACCTCCATGTTGTCGCTTTCAAGGTCGGCTTTCTGTGCACAAGACACATTACATCATCCACGGCAGCCAATCACATCACATGCTGCTTAAAGTCAAAGTAAACCAGCTGTGGATGTCTGGTCCTGCAGTTTAGTTTCATAAAGTACTGCAGTGATGCAGAGATAGATATTTGATTGATCCTTTGCAGGAAATTACTTCCACAAAGTAATAAAACGTACTGAAGACTAAGTGCAAGGTAATAAATATTTTGCAATATATAAAGTATACAGTGTAGAGAAAAATACTCTGTTCTTAAAACAGAATACTGCACAAAAACAAACCATCATAAACTAACGAAAACACAGAAAAACTACAGATTTACACGAAGCTGCTCATAACAGGCTCCATCGACGCCATCTTGAGATCTTTGCAGTAGCAGTACTATCACATAGAAGTATTCTGAGGCTGCGTTACCTTGTGATGGAACTCTGAAGTGGCCTCCATCAGCTTCTTCTCCTGTTCAGTAAACTGAGAGAGAAGCACAAAATGAGCTGCAGCATCACGAAGCCGATGTTCAGTCGACGTGATGTCATTTAATGCAACAACTATCACTGGATCCCTGTGATAACGGAGGAACCTTGAAACCAGAGAGGTTCTTGGGCAGCTTCTGCACATACTGGTTTCTAACTGGATTCCTGGAGGTAAACTTAGACGCCCTGAATCTGAACCTTCGTGTTTCATGTGTGCGTTCAGATCCAACCGAGTTCTGATTCTCAGAAAGACTGCATTTATCCTGCTATGATTTTAAAGGTTCTTAATCTCCTGATGCATTTATTTCTTGTGCAAATCATCTGCTGCATGTCTGAGCTATTTACACTCACTGGTCACTTTATTAGCTCCACCTCGCTAGCACCCGGTTGGACCCCTTTAGCCTTCAGAACCGCCTTAGTTCTTCGTGGCGTTGATTCAACAAGCTGCTGGAAACATTTCTTAGAGATTTTGGTCCATATTGACATGAAAGCATCACGCAGTTTGTCAGCTCCACATACATGATGCTCATCTCCCATCTCACCGCATCCCAAAGCTGCTCTGTTGGAGATCTGGTGGCTGTGGAGGCCGTCGGAGTTCTGCTGGAAGTAGCATCAGAAGATGGTCCACTGTGGCCATAAAGGGACGGACGTGTTCAGCAGCAACACTCAGGGAGGCCGTGGAGTTTAAACGATGCTCAGTTGGTACTAAAGAGGCCAAAGTGTGCCGAGAAAACATCCTCCACACCGTCACACCAGCAGCAGCCTGAACCGTTGATACGAGGCAGCATGGACCCATGTTTTCATGCTGTTTCATTCTGACCATCTGAATGTCTCGTCAGACCAGGCAGCGCTTCTCCAATCTTCTGTTGTCAGAAGTGCCACCTGGTTGGTCTTCTGCTGCTGTATCTGCTTCAAGATTGGACGTGTTGCGTGTTCAGAGACGGTCTTCTGCATAGTTTGGTTGGTTACTTGAGTTACTGTTGGCTTTCTATCATCTGAAACCAGTCGTTCTCCTCTGACCTCATGTTTTCACTCACTGGATATTTTCTCTTTTTCTGTAAAATCTAGAGACGTTTGTGTGAGAAACTAGACAAACAGTTCCTGAATCAGACCAGCCTGAGCCACTTGAATCACCTTTTCTTCCTCATTCTGATGCTCGGTTTGAACTTCAGCAGGTCGTCTTCACCACGTCTACCTGCCTGAATGCACTGAGTTGCTGCCATGTGATTGGCTGATTAGATGTTTAATGAGCACTTAAACCTAATGAAGTGGCCGGTGAGTGTAAACGTAATTACAAATAGTTTGTTTGGTTACTTCCGATGTTCAGACGACAGGTTTAGGACCAGCACCAGAGAGAATGTGTTTTCTACGGAGGCAGCAGGAGTCATGATTCCTTGTTCTTTGCATGCATCGGATGAATAAACGAACGAAAAACACAGATTTTGTTGGAAGATGTTTTGCCGTCGTTCACTCCATGTACAGTGACGTGTTCACTTACTAATGAACTCTGAGCAGTTTCTGGGTGTGTTTATTTGCTCCTGTCACATTTTTACTCACCGTGGGCTCATTCTTCTCTGCAACATAAAGTCCTGCACCTCGATGGAAACAGAATAACTCTGAAATATCTTCTGTGCAGTGCGAGAATCATATATAAGTTGAATTTCTTTGAGAAGCTCAGCACAGGTATCCAAAAAAGTGGGACAAAAAAATGTGAGTTTAAAGATATTTTACTACTTTGATGTCTCCTCTCTGCTCTCTTTAAACGATGCCTGCAGGATTTTTCACAGCTGAGTCAGTTTGTTTTTTTGGTTTTTTTTATTGCAAACTTTTAAAAATATGACAAATTTTTGAATGACATGATTTTGATAAAAATGTCATGATTTTAAGCTGAGATTCGGTTGTTTTTCAGATGAAGCTTCACGTCACAGATGAGCACTTCACTGACTGTCGGAGAGTTGGAACTCGGTTGATTCTGTTGGTGGAATTTGGTGATTATTTGGAAACGACGACATGCCTTTAAAACCTGCTGGCGGGTTTCGGAGTTCCGAGGGTTAAATAGTGACGCGTTCACTTCCTGATTAAAAACATGCTGCGACTCACCATGTCGGAGATCCTGCTTCTCTCCAGGTTGGTGTCCAGTTTGGCTTCTGCTCGGACTTTCTCGCTCTCCTCCTGAACAAAAACATCCACAAACGTTCAGGGTGTTTCTCAAAACCGAACCGAAGACAAACAAAAGAAGCAACGATGTGGTTTCAAAACAAACGTCCCTCTCTCACCTTCAGTCTGTTTTGCAGCTGCTCCAGCTCTCGCTTCATTTTCTGCAGGAACACAAACGTTTTTAAGCAGCATTTAGCTGATATATGAGCTTATTAATTCTGCAGCAACAATCTCTCTAGACCTCTCTACACTTCTATATTATTACTGTCTCTATTATCACAATCAATGTAGTTTGGAAAAACATGAATATTGTAACTTATCGTTATTATCTGACAATATGTGAAAATCTAAAGTGTGATATATTGTTCACAGCAGACAAATGTAAGTAATGAACTGTGGAGACTTCCTAATATCTATTAGTTTGAATTTTTACCAATAAGAATAAGTGCAATATTCCCCTCTTCAGCAGCTCTTACAATTACTGGACTTTTCAGTTTAATTCCTAAATACGTTCTGTTTTTACCGAATGGTTTGGTCATATAGTCAAAGAACATTTTACGACTAAAACATGCCAATTTTATTCTATTTCTCTGGCTGTTCACATTCTTTTCAGATTTATACATGAAATATCCATCCATCTAACCCTAACCAACGCTGCACGGGGAGAACATGGAAACTCCACGCAGAAAGATCCCGGGTGTCCTCACCGGGACACGAACCGGTGACCTTCTAGCTGCGAGGCTACCAACTGCGCCACCTTGCAGCCCTACGTGAAATATGAAAGGAGATATTTAAAATCCCCTCTGAAAAACCTCTGACTCTCAAACGAAGCAAGAATTTTAAAAGCTGGCTTTATCCAAAGTTCCCTACTTACATATTCAAACATACAATTTCAGATAACTTGTAATACATAAATTAATTGTCTCTATATCTACTTTCAGTTGGGGAAGTTTTATGTTGATATTTGTTAGTTTAAATTTTCACACTATTTTCCTGTCGTGTTTTGCCTTTAAGTGCATTTTTAAGCGTTAAAAGCATGAGTCACAGTTGTGCATGATATTGAATAAGAACAGAGAAAACTGTTTGGGACAAGCCTTAAAAAAAATTCTCATTCAGTTTTTAATCATTTTGCAGAAAAGGGATCATATAGTTTGCATATAACGTGAACATAAGTGGACCAAGAATTGAACCTTGTGGAACACCTCTACTTATCTGGTGATCTCATCCTATAACGAGTTGTTCTGGTAAAATATTCTGATCCACAGAACTAAATGCATCAGATAGATGTATAAGAAGTGCAGCAGGGTGTTTGTGGGTGTCCAGGACATTAACAATATCTTTAAGGAGATGTAATACAGCTGTTTATTGTGCTGTGAACCCTGACCGTGTTCTCAGATCGCAGGTTGGCGAACTCGCTCTTCTCCAGAATCACCATGTCCTTCCTGACTGAGTCCAGATGAGCCATGATCTGCTGCACCGCGATCTCCTGAAGAAAAACCCTCAGAGGTCAGGAAATCCCTTTGTAGCTAAACAATGGCTCATATACAAACAAATTATATGTGTAACATTCACCTCCAAATGACAACCGAAGTTTTCCTTTTTACAGTTTGTAAACAAAACTTCTTTCATAAATGTTGTGCAACATGGACATAAGGCTTCTCTAAAACTATGTGACTTTGTGCCATCCAATGATAACAATAATGCTAACTGACCAAGCTAAGCTAAACATCTCCAGCTCAACATGCTGCCAGGTGGTCCTACCTGGTGGGATTTGGTCACCATGTCTTTATAAACGATGTCCATGTTTGCTGTGGTCAGAGTGACCAGAGCAGAGACGATCAGCTCCGCCTGCCGCTTCTCAAAACCTGCACACAAACATTTTAAACCATTTTAACACTGAATAGCAGAGAGGAAAATAGAGAGAAAGCAGCTGCAGAAGCTGCCTGAGAATCTGTCGGTTTAAAGTTTCTTCATTATCACAGCGATCCATTCATGGTTGTCTTTAAAAAGAGGAAACGCTGCAAACAGGAGCTGCTCACAGACAACCAGTTTGACTGAACAGATACAGGACAAATATGATGCTCTAAAGGGATGTCAGCAAGTAGCTCTGTTATCACAATGCTGAACTGTCTGTAAGCAGCTCCGGTTTGCAGTGTGTCATGGGTGTACAACCAGTCATCACAGAATCACTGTGATTTTAAAGGGAACCTAAAAACAGACAGATTCTCAGGCAGCTTCTGAACTGAGTTTTTGAGGAGCTTTGGTTTCATTTCCCACCGCTGCTCTCCAGCTCCGTCACCATGGCGTGGGAGTCGAAGGTGAGTTTACGCTGCTCCAGAGGCGTCAGTTCAACTTTCCTCAGGTCGAATGTCGCTGACGGCGCTCCCACATGGAAACCTGTCACACAGACACACAAAAACACACATTTTCATCTGCTCTGACGGTTTCATAAAGACTGGTAACGCAATCAAACAACAGAGACACACAAAACACAAATGACCACAAAAATACTAAATTAAAATAAGGAAACTCAAATCAACGGTAAAGTGACACTAAAAATGACAACATGATCACAACATGATGCCAAAAGACAAAAAAATAAAACAGCTAAAAAGAGACGTTCACTGACCACAAAGAGACACAAAACAACCACAAAGAGAAATAAAAGACAACAAAGTGACACAAAACAACCAGAAAGAGACACAACACAACAACAAAGAGACACAAAACAATAACAAAAAGACACAAAAGACAACAAAGTGACATAAAATAACCACAAAGAGACACAAAACAGCAACAAAAAAACACAAAAGACAACAAAGTGACACCAAACTACCAGAAACAGACACAAAACAACCACAAAGAGACACACAACAGACACTCGGAGATGTAAAGTGAATATTTAAAGTTGCTTGTTTGTTATTGATCACACTGAGGAACCAGCCGGCTCCCGTTTGTCCTTCATTACTTGAGTAAATCTACTCAGTTACTCTCCGAGGCCGGTCCGGCTGCTCGGTGTCCCAGCATGCTTTGCGGCAACTTGTTCAAAAAAACTCACCTTTCCACGTAACGAGCCTCCGCAGGTCACAGCGCCGCAGCAGCGCGTTCATCCCGGACACGGCGGTCAGCTACACCGGAGAACCACCGACACACACCGACACACACACACTGACTGTCTGTTCGCACTGTCAGATCACACACCGACACACACAAATACACACTGTCAGATCACGCTCAGCTGACACACCGGATACACTGCCTGTGGGGATGCTGCCTTCAGGGACCGTCGGGACGGCCGAAGTGTCTGCGAAACAGTACTGCAGAGGTGTGGGAAACAGCGCCCTCCTCTGGTTAAAGTAACTACAGTGAAGGGATGTGTCTACTGAACTACGTTTTATTACAGCACAACAGTTGATTAGGGAATTATTTTTCCCCACAATAAAATGATGAACATGAATGTGTCAGTTGAATAATCAAGTAACAGAACACGTTATTCTGCTTTGATTTAATATGTCGAGTGAAACTATCACAAAAGAGCAAAATGGACACTAAGACACACAAAAAACCTCTAAGACATAAAAAAAATGCATCCAAGAGACACAAAACACAAAAAAACACTTCGAAGAGACACAAAACAAACCTTGAAAAGATTTTTTTTTAAATACACAGAGACACAAAATGTTTGTCAATCTCAAAGAGACAAAAATACCACAAATAGAGAATAACCACAAAAAGATGCAGAAGATAGCAAAGTGACATATTTCTGTGACACTACATCACAATACAACCGTTAATAATAGCATTATTTTTCTGTGCCCAATTATTAATACGAGGAACACTGAAGATAGACTAAGAGACACCACACACAAAACAACCACAGACAGATTTAAAAATAAAAAATAAACTACAAAAAGATGCAAAGCCACAACAAAGAGACATACAGCATGCACATTAAAAAAAAAAAAAAGTATTTCTACACTGCTAATTCACTGTGACTTTCTGATTTTTTAGAAAGTGATGCCCTATTTAGCATTTACAAACAACATTTAATTTTGTAATTTACTCATTTTACTAATTTATTACATGACTTATATAGTAGACATGATCTATGTATTTTCAGTATTTGTTCTAACTCAATGCATATTTTAGATTTTTACTTTTTTTGTGTTATGTATTTACACGGCACTGTCCAGTTTTATTTCAGATTTGTATCTGCTATTAAATACGTTAATATCCACCTAAATGTGCTCACGGCGACATTAAGCAACGTGAGCTCAGAAAATCCGACATTCCACGGTGACATTGAAGGCGTCTGTGAATTTACGTCATGTCCGCGTTTTTCTTTTTCTTTTTTGTCTTTCTTTCTTTTTTTTTTTTTTTTTAGCGAAATTATTCAAACAATAACATAAAAGGACAGAGCAGTTTTCATGTTTAATTATATGATCAATAATAAAATGAAATAAGATCAAATGCTGCTCAATGAAGACGTGTCCGAGTCGTTGTTGTCAATAAAGTTGTGCCACAGATTCATCCGCTTCGCTGTCATGGCGGCTCCAGCGGACAGCGGCTGCTGGTTTCCAGCGTTGGCTCTGGGAGTTTCTTTCCTCAAGTGTCTCTTCATCAACGCTTAGTGAGTGTAGAAACTTCGCTGTGAGCTGGTCTTATTTAGCGGCGCAGTTTCAGGGCGATGCTTTCATTTGTTGGCTGTTAATTTAAAATCTACTGCGACGTTTGTTAGCATCGAGCTAACAGAACGAGCACCGAGTGCCCCAAAAACTAGTTTTTCATAAAAGAATCACGGCTATGAAGTTGTTTGTGCGAATATCTAATTATTGTGGTTAGAAAACAAGTTGTCTGTGGAACTGTTAGCGTTATTTACCTTTCAATAACGTGAAGACGAGTTGTTGTAACGTTAGCTCGACGTGTTATTAACTCGCGGCTAGTTCACCCGAACGGCCTCAAGATGGCGCCGTTTTTCGTCTGAGGTTTCACATAGAATATAAACTCCTGAGCGTAGACACTTCCTGCTAAAGTATCTATTTTGCTGTGTTAGTTTTACTATGTTTTGTGTTTTTATTTTCTGCGTGGAGTCTCGGGAGTTATAAAAAGGCAGTGTTTTATCAGTCCATTCCAAACTTCTCAGGCAAAACTCCGAATTTAAGAATGAATCTCACCTATTCATCAGTGTGCACTTGTGATAATGCAGTGATCAGCAGAATCAGTATTAAAAAAATAGAGGAAAATAAATCACCCGTGTAGTCTAGAAAATGTAATGGTTGTGGGTAAATTATTAATTCCAACCTGAGATAATACAGACTACGGTAAATACATTAATGTCACTCTAACTGTGATGTGTGTCCCTTTACTTACTCTGTATGAAATTCAGGTCCACAGAACGATAATAAGTTATTTGTTTGTCCTTGTGGCATAAGACATCCTTCATCCGACCTCTCTGGGTGGTTGTTATGATGTGGTTTATGCTGGCACTGTTTGAGCTAAGAGTAATTCAGAACATCAATGAGACACTGCCGCAGCTTTTTGCATTGTGCACGTCTTTCTGCATTTAACTCGCTGTTTACTCAGCTGTACAACCAAAGCACACTTCAAAATCTTCAGTTCAAACAAGGTATTGTTTGTTTGCGAGTGCGCAACATGACTGAAGTAACAAATTCTACCAGTAATGTTCATGTTAGTGTGTTCAAAGGAGCAGCCACATGGTCTGTAAATGTCCTGACTTAAACATTGTGGTTCTGACGTTCTGCATATTTAGATCACATGTGGTTAACTGGCTTTTATACAGTTAAAGCTTCAGAGAACAGATATTTAATTTAGTGTCATCTGTGTGGATTTAACTGTCTAAACTCTGGACTTGTGCAGTAGTGACCACAATGAGTTCACTTTTAAGTGTGAGTTCAGTGCATCAGTGTGGATCATGTAGTTCACCTGCTGCTGTGTTTGTTCTCAGTCATTCCACAGACTTCGAGGTTCACAGAAACTGGTTGGCCATCACTCACAGCCTGCCGGTGTCCAGGTGGTACTATGAGGTGAGTGGGACAGAGGACTCAACCTGTCGGACGGCTGTGAGATGACATGAAACACTGATGCTCAACGGGAGCAAAACCCTGCTGCAGTTCCAACGTCTGTCCGCTGTTAGAGCAGCACTCCAATATAATCTCCTTCTACATGTCAGAGATGAAATGGGAAATAAGTCCAGAACAGAGCCACATCACGCAGAAACACAACTACACACACACCAGAGGGCTGTACAACAAAGTGTGATCAGTGTGTTAGGGAGGTTAGCTGAATTTTCAGTGTTGCAAAGGTCTTTTAACCTGCTAGATCTCCATGGTAGCTGATGCTGTGGAGCTAGCCTGGTCCACAGCAGATTATGTTCTAGTTTTTGGATTTAGGTCAACTGGAAGGAGCGTCTCTCTTTAACCAAATCATTTCCTAATGATTCTCTTGAGTCATACACATTGTCAGCTGGTGTTTTATCTGCAAATCTGTTGATCTGTACGTTACTTAAACCACCAAATGAAGCCGTTTAGTTACAGCATCACACACTAGATGCATCACGTTGCCATGGAAACCTGACATGTATTCAGCTCATCATGCAGAAATCACAAGAATATGTTTTTATGTTTGGTCTGCTGGTACTGCAGCTGATAGAACACAGATTAGAAGATCGATTATTCTACTGATATTTATTACAGAGAATATTCAGTAACATTAATTTCACTTTGATTTGGCCAAAAATTGAAGTGATTTCCTGCATTATGGGACAGTGTCAGACCTAAATGCACTCACATACAAGATCATGTTTAAATATATGAACTTCAAAATTTAACAGTTATCATGCGAAGCTGCATGGATCAGTAAAATGAATAGAGTTACACAAGTTTACCAGTTTTCTACCAGCATTGTGTCATCTCCAGTAGCGAGTTTTACCCTCATACAGTTTTTAAAATTCTTTTTCCCACTATAACGACTTGTTGACTGAAGTAGGAGGGACACCACTGATTCATTTTGTGCAGAGAAAGAGCCATTTGACACGTTTAACGGCTCCTTTCAACCTGCACGGAGTTTGAAGCAGAAAGCCTGAGTTGACAAAGTCGATAACTGTCTTCATGATACCTGTTTTCTCTGACTGGGGTTTCAGTGTTTGTCAAGCCGACTTAGATTCATGCTGCATGTTCCCATAGAACACGTCAGACTGGACTCTGGATTACCCGCCGCTGTTCGCCTGGTTTGAGTTCGGTCTGTCCCACGTGGCTCAGCACTTCGACAGGAACATGCTGCAGGTGGAGAACCTGAACTACGCCAGCCCGTCCACTGTGCTCTTCCAGAGGCTGTCGGTCATCTTCACCGACGTGGTTTTTATCTACGCTGTCAGAGAGTGAGTCCACCATCTGAGCACAGCCTTTATTAAATGCACACTTTCAACTAAATCTACTAAAGCAGGAGCAGGTTTTTCTGGACAACACACAGCTGATGTACAATGGACTAGCATAGCCTGAATCAGACACAGTCTAAAGGTGAGAAGTAGTTTGTAGAATCGTGATGCATTACAGAATGACGTACTTCTGTTTGGAAACTGAACAGAAAAAATGAATACAAAGTGAGAAAAAATTACCAGAAAGCACCAAAAAAGACCACAGACATAAAGGAAGGTTCACAAAAAGACAAAAACAGACTACAAACAGAGAGGAAACACTTTAAAAAGCTGAAGAATGACCACAAAAGAACAATCACAAAGAGAAAAAACTGCAAATAGACCAAGGGTAACCTCAGAAAGATAAGAAATAACCATAAATAGACAAAGAATAACCACAAAGAGACACAAAATGTACAGAAAACTACTGTAGACAAAGACAATCGGACAAGAAAAACTAAAAATAGATTTAAAAAATGACCAAAAACAGACAGAAAAGACCACAATGACAGAAAAAAACAATTATTAAGAAACAAAAAGACTGCAAATAGACCACGGGCAGCTACAAAGAGACAAGGAGATGAAAATAGACAAAGAGTGACCACAAAGAGACAAAAACAATCACAAAGAAACAAGAAAAGAAGACCACAAATAGACAAAGGATGAACACAAAGACACAAAAAGACTGCAAGTAGACAGAAAAGACCACAAAGAAACCTTCTGTAAATGAGTTTGTCATTATTATTTTTAAAAAGTTGTGTATTTGTCACAGTGACCAGTCAGCATCACTGTCAATTAATTCAGACAACTTTTATGTGACTTCCTAGACGAGTGCTCGCTCCTGATTGGCTGCGTCCTCTTCCAGGTGCTGCAGGTGCGTTCAGGTGCGAAAGGGCTCCCGGGACGTTCTGAGCCGGCCGTCCTTCGTCCTGGCCGTGCTGCTGCTGTGGAACTTCGGCCTCCTCATCCTCGACCGTATCCTTCACGTGTTTTATCTTATGTTTCTAAATGGAAGACATGCGATTATCAGACCGAGCTAAGTGCTGGTGATATTTTGCCCTCCTCGTGTATGTCAATGTCCTTCACATCTTTGCCTCAGATATTCATTTCCAGTATAACGGCTTCTTGTTTGGTTTCCTGCTGCTGTCGGTGGCAAAACACCTGCAGGTACAAGCTCCAGTCTTCTGAGGTTTACGTCTCATTTCCTCAAAGCTCTGCGAATCAACCATATATTTATTTGTTGAAAACTCCTTCTTTGGTGGTAGATTAGGGAGAAAACAGTCCAGGAACTTGGAAAACTGATAAGCTAACAGGCTGTTCAGCTAACTACAACACAGACGCTAGCTGTGTAGCACACAGAGAACACACAAGCTGTCGTGGTTTGTTCATCCGGTAGCAAAAGATTTCACCAAACTGGCTCCACATGCGGCAGAATAACCTCCTCACGAAATTCTCCTCATTTATTATTGATGCTGTTTCAGTGGCAGTGATGCTTCGCGCACATATTCCATAAAACTGGACAGTAAAAGTTGCTCTGATCAGCCTCTCTCTGAACCGGGTGCTGTGAAGCCTCTGTCACGTTTCCTCTGTGGTTAACACCAGGGGTCGCAGTGTGTTTGGATTTGCAGACATTGAGCAGACCCTGTGAGTTAAGCTTTGTTCAGACTGTTTTTTCTTTTCTTTTTATTTGTGTGAAACAGTCGCAGCACCTGCAGGGGGCGCTGCTGTTCGCCATCCTGTTCAACCTGAAGCACATCTACCTGTATGTGGCTCCGGCCTACGGCATCTACCTCCTGAGGAGCTACTGCTTCACTCAGGACAACAAAGGTACCACGTTCACGCTTTTAGCGTTCTGTGTTTTTTATGTCTTGCTGATTCAAATGATTGGATTCTGGTGAATTTCCTTCTCATCAGTTAGAATTTGTGCACAACTGCAGCTTGTTTCACCGTTAATAACTACTTCTGCTGGTGGCTCCAGTAGCATTTTTGCTCCTGTCACATTTTTTTCTCGTTGGGGGGGGTCATCTTCAACTACAATATAAAAGTCCTGCACCTCTACGGAAACAGCACAACCATGACTAGAGGGAGGGAGAATACAGTTATATATTACAGTTAACACCATAAATCATAAAAACAAGGAAAAAAAAGTTGCATGTCTTCAATTTTTTTTTCCCCAAATGTGTTTCCATACTTGTCTCCTCTCTGCTCTGTGGGAACACCGTCTGCAGTTCACCTAAAAACTCCCTGAACTTTTCTAAGCTGAGTCTGTCGTGGTGTTAAATTTGTTGTTTAACAAAAAAATAAATAAATAAAGAAGTTGATCATTTTTGAACGAGACATGTAGAATTAAGTGATTTTGTTGAAATATTGCGATTTTAAGCTTAGATTCTGTAAATTTTCAGACGGAGATGCACGTCACGGATGAGTAGTTCACTGACCGTTGGAGAGTTGAAAATCCAGTGATGCTCTTGTTAGACTTTCTGGTTGATAAATGGTAGAATTTGGTGATTCGGTCATTGCTTCTCTGGTGGAAACGCATTAGTTTTTGGAGTAATTTTAAATGAGATGCTCAGAATATGTGATTTTTTTTAACTTAATTAAATGCACAATTTTAAGCTGAGATTTTGTTGAGCTTGCTGATCGAACAGTACCTCATGCAGGATTAGTTTAAGGACTGTACAAAAAGGCAAAATTCCACCAGTTCTTACAGTTTCTTGCCCAAACTCACCGTAAGAACCCACAACATAGCAGTCAGACCATATATCCTACGTCATACATCCTCACAATCATGTGGCGACAAACCCCAGATGTTGCAGCAGCCACACGACCACGCAGATGCAAGTGCACAGTGATATCCTAGCATCGCTGTCAAAACTTTGATTATAACAACAAAAAAAAAAAAAAATCACTTAGCAAGCCTAGCAACACCATAGCAACTAACCCAGACACCACAACCTGTTGTGACTGTGTTTTTGTGCAGACGGTTCTGTCCGGTGGACGAGTTTCAGCCCGCTGCGCCTGCTGGCTTTGGGCGGCATCGTGGTCTCGGTGTGCGCTCTGTCCTTTGGGCCATTCGTTGCCATGGTGAGTGGAGGCTGTAGAGGATGGGGGGGAGGGGGTTGTTTACTACTGCTGCCCCGCTCAGTGTCGCTGATCTACAGGTATGGTGTTTTGCAGGGGCAGCTGCCTCAGGTCCTGTCCCGTCTCTTCCCCTTCAAGCGGGGTCTCTGTCACGCCTACTGGGCCCCCAACGTCTGGGCCCTCTACAACGTGCTGGACAAAGGCCTGGCGGTGCTCGGTGAGTCTCCACCTCCTCTCAACTTTACACTATCTCAGCTGCACGACTCAGTCAGACTTTTCAGGATCGTGACGGTGACTCTTGTTTAACCTGCTACATCGCCATGGTAACTGATGCTGTGGAGCTAACGTGGTCCAATTATGTTCAGAGATTTGGATTCAAATGGAAGAAGCATCCCCTTTTAACCAAATCATTTACTGACGATTAAGATAAGCCAATTTACATGTTACAGCAGCTGGATCCAGATGAGGCATTGAAGAAGCAGAAAAATAAAGATTTAATAAAGGTATAGACACCGTGGAGATTAGCATGATAGATGTGCTTGTTGAATCTACACCATGAACAATTACGGCAGTTCTGAAATCAAAAGAGATACAACCCGGTACCAGAAAGGTGTAGCTAGTAAAGTGACCAGTGAGTGTGTGTTTAATCTGTGCTTATATGAACAGAAAAAAGCAGGAAACTGTCACGTTTGAGAATCTAAAGCAGCGATTCTCTTTTACCTTTTTTATTGTTTCTCCAGGTGTTCGCCTGAAGCTGCTGGAGGAGGCGGAGCTTCCTCGAGCCTCCATGACGGGCGGCTTGGTTCAGGAGTTCCAGCACTCGGTCCTCCCCTCCGTCTCTCCCTCCGTCACCCTCGTCTGCACTCTGCTGTCCATCCTGGTGAGTCTGAGCAAACTGCTGCACCGTGACGAGCTGAGAAAAGACGATAAAAGAGATTTTCTGTGGGAGTGAAAGACGTTGTCATGTTGCATTGATTTGTCCTCTCTGCTCTCTGAAAGCCGGCGGTGGTGTCCATCTGGTGGCGGCCTCGCGGCGCTCGCGGTTTCCTGCGCTGCCTGCTGCTCTGCGCTCTGGGCTCCTTCATGTTTGGCTGGCACGTCCACGAGAAGGCCATCCTCATCGCCATCCTGCCCCTCAGGTCGGCCGCCCGCTCACCGGGTCACATGTCGTCATGTATGAGGAGAGCCGCTTGGTCAGCTTTCTGTCTGCTTTTTTTGTTTGTTTGTCCTGCAGCATCCTGGCGGTCGAGAGCAGAGAGGATGCTGGGATCTTCCTGGTTCTGACCACCACGGGGCACTACTCGCTGTTCCCGCTGATCTTCACCCCCGCAGGTAAACAGGACGGAGGTTTGATGTGAGCAAACTAAAGGACGAGGATATTTTAGGAGCGTTGAGATTGTCGGTTAACTCACTGCAGTAAAACCTAGAGTCAGTACACTCTTTTTTCAGGGTGAAAATACAAATTTAATCAGCCTTTTACTTTGACGAATACAGAATATTTATAGTCCTTGCATATACTGTATATGTTTGACACAAACATTTCATTGATGTCTGGTCTGTCAACCAAGAAATACTTTGAGTTTTAGTTCGTAATAGCTAAATGTCTGACTTTGATGTCTGAATGAATGTGTTGATGCTGAAACAGTACCACAGCAGAAACCTAAAAACATCAGGAAGAGTAATGCATTTAGTAGAAGACAGAACGTGGAGAATTATCGGTTCTGAGTCGGTTTGTGTGTTTCACAGAGCTGCCTATCAAAGTTTCTCTGATGCTGATGTTCACCATCTTCTCCTTCACGGCTCTCAGGAAGCTCCACAGGTAAAAAAAACAAACAAAAAACTAACACGTTTCTGTATTTTTCTTACAACGTCAGTGACTTTAGGGAGTTAGAGAATTGATTTGATTATATTTGAACATGTAGGTTTTGCAGCTGTTTGTAGCATGGACATACTGTACATATCAATATTGGAGGGGGGAACAACCATTAAGTTGACTTTGTTGAAGTTTGAGAAGCTTCTCAGCTCGGTTTCTGGGCGTTTGTCCACCACCTTTATGGAAACAGAACAACCATGAGGAAGGAGAGAGATCTCAGAAATGTCGTCTGTGCAGCATGACACAGTAACGTTATAAATCAGAAAAAGAAAATTTATTTTACTAAATTTGAAAAAACCCAGAATCACCGCGTGTCCACAGATGTTGCTGACACTGAAAAAAATGGGGGCTGTGCACACTCTGGACATTTAACTGTTTTTAATTCGTTAACAGTTCCTGCAGTTCAACTGAAAACTCTCACAGTTTTGTAACTGTTGGCTGCAGTGAAGTCAGTTGTGGCGCCAATGAGCACAGAAATGTTCGTTTTTCACAGAACCTGGTGCAAACTGTTCATTTTTTGGGGAAATTCTTTAATTAAAACATGCAGAATAAAGTGATCTTGATAAAATGTGACAATTTTAAGTTGAGGTTTGGTAAATTTTCCTGATGGGAACACATTCACCCATAATAGTAACAATAATAACAGAACTTTTACATAGTTATAACGCGTTTTACAAAAAAAAAAAAAAAAACTGCAAGTGAAGTGGATCCAAAACATCAAATATCACAAGATGAAAGAAATGTAGTAGTTAAGTAAAAGCCATATGATAAAAGTGAGTCTTAGGAAGAGATTTAAAAGAGGATACAGAGCTGAGGAGAGTTTCTGCTAAGACCTGGTCACCTTTAGTCGAGCCTTGGATAACATTATTAGAGTCCTGATTGAGGATCTTAGTGATAAGGCTTATAGGGCGTTACCAAACCACAGATACAGGCCGCAGCGGGACGATTCAAGGTTTTAAAAACAAGCAGTAAGGTCTTAAAGTTGATTCTAACACATTCAGGCATCGTTCAAAAATCTGATAATTCCTTCTGCTTTCACAGTTTTACGGCTGACAATAGTGAGCAATTTCGGTGATGTCTTTTTATTTGCCTTTCAGTCCCACTGTGGGCAAATGTTTTCTGGTTCAGGCTTCTCAGAGTGACTGTTTGGGTTTTGGACAGTAGGTCGGACGAAGCTGGATGTTCAAGGACGTTGCTGCAATCTTTTAAAAAAGAAAAAAAACAAAAACAAATGTAAACGAGAGAAACTGATGTTCAAGCAACAACTGTTATTAACATCGAACCAAACTATTTATATGTGAAAATATCTCTGAAATGATCAGCCGACTTCTTTAAATATACAGATTTGCTGCTTTTCTCTGCTTTAGGTGACAGTAAACTGAATACTGGTTACATTCTGGATGGGTTTTTTGGTTTTGTTTTTTTTTTTTACATTTTGAGAAATATTTGATGGCTTGAATAAATAATGAAAAAACGGGAAAATGAGCCTTAAATAGGATCTGACTTAATTATTCTATACCTGATGTAATCCGATTACTCTCCCCTCAGTGGTCAGCGGTCTCTGCTCCGTCCTGTGGAGGTCGCCTACCTGCTTGGCCTGGTTGCCGTGGCGATCGCCTGCGAGGTGGTCTTCCCGCTGTCGCCGTGGCAACAGAGGCTGCCCTTCCTCCCCCTGCTGGCGACGTCTGTGTACTGCTCGGTGGGCGTCTCCTACTCCTTCCTGCGTCTGTACGGCAGCCTGCTGCGGTGCGAGGACAAACCCAAGCAGCTGTGAGACGTCGGTCCAGGTCAGAGCCCCGACACGCCCACATCGACCGCCACCGCCTGCCCTCGAGCAAGGCAGCCAGACACAGACACCGTTTAGTTTACATGAGAAGGACGGACTTGGGAAGTAGAGGGGTGTGCACGCAATCCAACAACACTCGACATAATCGCTGGGCTCCGTCTGTTTATAGACAAAACTATAAACAGACAGGAATCAAAACACTAGCGGTAAAAATATAGTTTGGGTTTTTTTTGTTAGTTTTGCTGCATCAGGACAAAAACAAACACATTCAACCTCAAGTAGAGCAAAATCTGAAAATGTCGTAGGACTCAAGGAAGAACTGAGGGTCTGAAATCCGACCTGCTCCCAAACCAGTCGATTAAATCAGCACGTTATCTGTAGATGAGCTGGACGAGTGGACTCTACATGCAGCTTCATTAGCCTGAGTCAATTCTAAGTCATCATAAAATTATTTTATACCTAAATAACAGATGAGCTGCACATAAATATTTATATTCTGAAAATAAAACTTCTTCATCAGGTGACTCCAGCTCAAGAAATACGAGTTCACTGCTGTTAGCTGTTGAGCTGTAACATGTAAACTGCTGTTTGCAAAGGTGACACTTGACTTTGTGTCGACTAGATTGATCAAAACGCATCCACACCGATGCCACGCTGCTGAAAAGACAAACATCTCCTGCAGCAGTTGCTAATTAATTAGTAGCTTAATGACGGAACAAAATGAAACTCTTTTGTGTTTCTGAACTCAACTGAAGATTTTTCATCAGGGGAAGAAGTTTCTGTAGAGTCACGTTAAGCTTTAGTTCATATCTGATGGATAACTTCAGCTGATCAGTGTCCCGTTTTTGAGCTTTTAGTCAACATTTAGGTGATCGGACACCCCTCCTCCTAACTTCCTGTGCTGCTTCACTGGGATGCAGCTCACCTGAAATCCTGTTTGCTCATTTGGAAATGATATAACGTTTGACCAACTCGGTTCTGTTCGACGACTGAACAGAAAAAAGCAGAAACCTTTGTTTTTTCGACTTGAGTGACAAGAATCGTGTCGTCGGTGGTTTCCGATACAAGAAATGTTGTTTCTGCACCAAGGAAACTTTGATTTCACCTGAAATCACCGTGAAGGATTTGTGTTGTTACTAAAGAATATGTGGACCAAAACAGAACTGAGAGACATTTATGATGTTTGTATTTTTGCATTTTTAAATAAAAAGAAACCATAATTTATCCAGAGTGTGTATGTGATGGTGTTTATTGTGTTGCCGAGCTTCACACAAACTGAAAAACGATTTAGATTCCCAGAGCAGGAGAATAAAAACACTAATGAAAGTGTTCCAGTAAATCACCAGAAACTGTTTGTTCTCCCTGCATGAACGTGAGTCAGGTCAGACAGATGAATTTCATATTTACTGTTTCTTGTTGCATGTAACCATCTTAACTTCTCGTAGTGACACCTACCAAACCTAAGTCGGCCAGTACAGTAATCTCCAATCAGTCACATGCTTGTGGATGGACAGATGAGGCGTCTCCAGTGTTTGTTCAAGAGCCTCTGTCAGCTTTTAGACGTCGTGTCTCCTCTTTCCTTTTTCTGTTTGTGAGATCTTTTGGCTTCATAAGCTGCATATTTGTCCTAGAAAACTACATGCGTATTTGTAGCAGCAGGACTGAGGCACCTGAGGGAACTATTAGTACGGGAAAAATATCAAAATCTGGCATCTAAATCGTTACCAAACAATTTCTTCACCAATATGTTTGTAAAGGTGTAATAACATGCCTTAAAGTTCAACTCTGGTGGGAAACCCTGAAAAACACCTGCTCAAGTTAGGGTACCGATAAATGATTGATGAAAAATAAATTTTTTTAAAAATCGGTCCTTAAGTAACTTATGAGCGGTCAAATCAGGGTTTGTTCATGATTCTGAGTTGACTGTTAGCATTTATATTTCACCACAAACACTTCTGATGTTGAGTGTAACATCAGAATCACATTCCAGCTTAATGCGGTGCAGCACAGC